AGGAGGAAAGGAGAGAAGAAGCGAGGGAAGGGGTAAAAGGAGGGAAGGAAGGGACAGAAAGGGAGGGGAGGAAAAAGAGGGAGGGAGGCAGGGAGGGAGGGAGAAAGGAAGGCAGGATGGGAAGGAAAGAAAAGAAGGAACGAAAGAAGGAGGGAAGAAAGGAAGAGAGGAAAGGAAGGCATGGAAGGTGAAGTGAGGGAAAATGAGGGAGGGAATGAGGGAATGAAGGGAGGAAGGGAGAAAAAAAGAGAGGGAAAGGAGGGAAGTAAGGTAGGAAGGGAAGGGAGGAAGGAAGGGAGGAAGGAAAAAGGAAAGGGAGGGAAGGATGGGAAGGAAAAGAGGGAAGGGAGGAAGGAAGGGAGGAAGGGAACAGAGGAAGGAAGGGACGGAAGGAGGGAAGGGAAGGAAGGGAGGGAGGAAGTAGGTAAAGGAGGAGGGAACGGGAGGGAAGGACGGGAAGGTAGGGAGGGAAGAGAAGGAGGGAAGGGATGGAGGGATTAAAGGTAGGAAGGAAGGGAAGGTAGGAAGGGAAGGAAAAGGATGGATGGAATGTAGAAAGGAAGGGAGAGAGGGTGGGAATGGAAAGGAGAAAGGAAAGGAAGGGAGAAAGGAAGGGAAGGGAGAAAGGAAGGGAAGAAAGGGAAGGTAGGAAGGAAGCCCAGACCTTTGAGTGTGAAAATTATACATGCCATGTTATTTTTGTTTATAGTCATTTAAATTCATATCTGAGGATAAGACATTTATAATTATTACCTCACACGATATGTGATTTTTATACATATATCATGTTTTATATCATATATATTGATTATATAAGAATATATTTTAATTATATATTACAGTTATGCTTTATGTTTAATAAACAGTTCTCACACTCAACAGGAATTTGTGTGAATTAAGTACATGATGTATTGAGAATAAATAAAGATGGAACTATGGAGAGAAAAATAAGGTGGACAAGTAAAACAGGCATTCAGAAAGCATTCATTCAAGACACACAAGGCAGAAATGGGAAACCATAAATATGGTGATGGGATGGCACAGAGGTGAGATTGAAAGCAGGGTGTGGGAAAAAACACAGCCGGTGCAATTGCAGACCAGGACTCCCACTCACTCACAGAAACACATACCTGGGTGGCTGAACCTGGCAGTCCTTGCCAGCTCTGCTCCTGTGAGTGCAGCTGCCATTGTAAAAAAAAAAAGAAAATAAAAAAAAATACTGTAGCCTATGGGTACACACAGCCCTGTCAGGGTTCAGTTACCTGACAAAGAAGAGCAGGTAAACTGAACTGCACGCAGACACTGACAAAAGTAGGGTACCACCCACGTGCTGAGCGTGAGCAGTTGAGCTTACACTGATGGAAAAAGGGATCTGAGTAGCTAAAACACAGTTCATCACCCAGAGATGAAAATATAACTATAAATAAGTATACATTTCTGAGCCATGAGAGGAATGGTAGAGAGGAGAAATGGTATCTGTCCTTCTCCTGTCCTGAACTGTTTGCTTTTATCTCGCATTTTTTTAAATAACTCAGATGTTGTTGGCAGTGGAAATCATACTTTTTTGTACATGAACCCAAAAACAACTGGAAATCTTGTTCCTGACTTAGGAGTGAGACACATGTATGTACTAACACCACTTCACGCAGGCTTTCACGTTCTTACCCTGCCCCCAACATTCCTTTGCTTCCAAGTGTCTGTGTTTCATTTTGCACCCTCACTGAAAGTCATGGCAAACAACTGTGCAGAGCAAAAGTATTAAAAAAAAAAAAACCAAAACATAGGAAGACCAGTTTTTAAGAGATAAATATAAAACCAATATTACATCTTGAGATCACGGTCAATCAAATGCTGTACATGAAAGAGCAAAGGCCAGGTTCTGTTCACATTTTTAGTGCTATTAAAAATCTAAAAAATAAAAATAAAAAAATTGCTATTAGTCCATTTGTGAGTGCCACTGAAGAATCTGCCATTTTTTCCTGCAATAGAATGGCATGAAATAATACAGCTTTTAATTCCAGGAGCTTGTTTCTTAGTGCAGATTCTCATTTCACAACTAGGATTAGCTGAACTCTTCACCTGCTCCCCAGAGGACAAGCAGACAGATGGCTCCTGAGGAAGGTCAGCAGAAACGTTCACGCATACATATTTTTGCACAAACTGCTTACAAGCTGCTTTCCCCCTTTTTTTTGAAAGCAATTTTACCATGTTTTCCAATCTTTCCCAGTTTCAACGTGGCTGAATTAATTTCACACAAAAAAGTGTGGGAGCAGCGGTCTCAGCTCCCCTGGATAAATGCTGGGCTACGTGCTGCTTGTGTTTGACCATTGGGAAGTCCGGCCAGGCAAGGCATCAATCTTTTGTCAATGAAAGGGGTACATTATCAGCTTCTCGGCTGTTTCTTTCCTAAACAGTTACCTGAGGTTTAAGATAAATATCCAACATGCTTATTTTATAAATACATAAATAAATACATGAATAAATAACCAGAGCACCAGAATTACATTCTCCTCTACAACCATCTCTCCAATTGCAAGGGGATCTCAACCTTGTGCAGCAGATATGTATGGCAACCTGATATGGTTACCTGTGTCTGGTTGGCTTTGCATTATCCCCTCCCCAAAACATTCCCAGCGCTCACGCCCAGCTTTCTGCAAAGTCTCACAGATCTTTAACACCAGAGAAATTCCTCACACAGCCTCCAAACATGTCAGTTTCTTCCCTTGTGACCTGCTGTCCTGCACTCTCCTACTGCTATAGAAGAAGCTATTTTAGTCTGCTTGGACTAAACAACAGTAAATAAAACATAAAAATAATTAAGTTGAATGCGATACCCTTTTCTCATGCTAATTAGTTGACAATCACTTATGGAATGACTTTATTAAGTGGCAGAAGAGGATGCATCACCTGGTCACGTATAAAGGCAAAACCTTCAGTAAAATAAGAGCCTAAAAGTATCATAAAGATGTTTGTGACCAGTGTGAGGAACTGGAGGCCGCTGCTGGAAGCCACTTTGGTACATGATGGGTTCAGATATGTTGAAACAGAACTCAAAGTCAGAAAACTACAGCTCAGAAGAAATCCCTTTGAGTGAGGAGAAACAGAGAACTAAAACCATGATGTTTGTAGGAGCTGTAGATAAGATTATATGTATTACATTTAGAGAGGTCCTCAGAGGAAAATGAAAAGATCTCTGAAAAACATCAGCTACAGTAACAAAGTGAAAAGGCTTCCAAGTGCGTAGATAAGCAATTTTGGAAAACCAAACTATGCCTCCATGATCTGTTGTATTTTTGTGGCAGAATGGGTTTTAACCCATGTGTACAGTTTTAGGATTAATAAGCATCATCCAAAACAAGTATATAAAAAGCAGCACCTCATTCAGCACATTCACTGGGATTTCCAGTGCATTTATTCCATTTTCTGCTGGGATGACAGTTATAGCAATGATTAGAAAACAGTATGGCAGGAAATGATGCTAAACATTTGAGTTATGTATCACAGACTGTCTCAAATTCTCTGACTTTAGATTTAAATCTTTTCAAAGTTTTCCTGAAGTTTTTGGCACATTTTCTGCAAGATACATATGACAAAGACAGTAGAGTCATGGAGGACTCAGGCCCTCTGCTATTGTTTAAATGCTGACGCTTAAGGTTTAAATTTGCAAAGAATGGATTATTCTACATCAAAACTAAGGTGTTGCATGTTTATTTACAGACCAAACTCCGGTAGTAATGTGTACTCGTCATGCGAACTGATTTGAATTTAATTCTAAAGTCTGTTTTGCACCAGGAAAACATGAGTTTCATTTTACTTGTCTCTGTTTTCAATTATAATTTGACAAAAGAAATAACTGCGTTACCTATTTGATTTGCCAGAACTTTATCCCAGCACCACCTGTTGAGCCTTCGGCACTCGAATCCTGACATATAGCAGAGAACAAAATTATGCAGTTGGCACACTGACTAGTAAGGATGCCAACAAAAGCATAATATATCCTTTGTACTCAAAGTACAACAAAATATATATTAAGCTACCAACTGCAAAGGTTTAAGAAAACCACATGTAATTATACAGGAACATATCTTTCCAACAAATAACTCAGTAGAAAAATGGTATGGAAGTTAGAAAGGACCCTTTTTGTTTTATATGCACTAGTTAGTACGGCAAGCTTAAACTAAATGAAGTTTCACAATGCCTTAGTAGATTTACATTAGAGATGGCAAAGGGACAGCCAGCTAGTTTATACAAATAGATGCGTTCAACGCTATCAACTTCTCAGTTTAAATGAAATGTCCCGTGTTTGTTTATGGTTGGGTAGCTGACACAGCACAGCAGAAGGACTCTCAGCACTCATCCCAATCAAATCCCTTCTATTGCCATTGGCTGTGACTAAAGTAGTAAGAATCAGCTGTGTTTCCAAAGTTTACTTCTTTAAAGCACCTCTTTGCCACAGAAGTCCTCACAATTGCTTTCCTAGCACTGCAGCTCTTCTGACCCAAGGTCTGCAGAAAAGAGGAGGCAGAACTTAGGGGCAGATAGCAGGGATGAGGCAAAGTTGCCCCTCCAGGTCTGCAGCAGTCTGTGAAGTCTCCTCTGGTCATAAGGGCTAACAGACACACAGCCCCTGCAGGAATGGGCTCTTAACCAGGACATGAGAGGATGGGTCCACAACTCCCTACAAACAGATCTAAGGACGTGGACAGGGTAAGGCAGAAAGAGCTAGTAAACCCACAGGAAAGGGAAAAGCAGTTTGGGAAGTATGAAAGATTAACTGCCAGTTTTCCAGTGTTGTAACAATACTGCTGATGAATCTGTGCAGGGCTGAGCACAGAAGTTCTGAAGTCAGCTTAAGCTTTTGTTGTTATTACAGCATGAAGCATACAGGAAAGACCACTAAAACTCTGTACAAAGGCCCAAAATGCATTAAGTTAAATCAAGTATCTATAAAATCTTTGGTAGTGAAGCATAACTTTGAGATAGTTTGGAAGGAAAGATAAGAAACCTGAACTACCTGGTTTTGGAAACAAGCAAACAAACCAGCTGTGAATCACAGAGTAACCAAAGGATTTTACTTACTGGGATAGCTTTTGCACCCTTAAAGTTGGTATCGTCGCAGAACTTGCTGAGGATGCTGTGCATCCATTCATCCAGTTTACTGATGAAGGTGTCCAACAAGACTGGGCTCAGTACTGATCCCGGGGGAACACCAACTAGACTCTGCACTGCTGATCATAACCCTCTGTGCTGTGCCATCAGCCAGTTCTCAGCCCACCTTCCTGTCCACTCATTTGTTCCACAACTCCTAACCTTACCTATGAGGATGTTATGGGAGATAGTGTCAAAAGCCTCGCAGAAGGCAGATAACACCCACTGCTCTCCTCTCATCTATCCAGCAGGTCACAACATCAGCCAATATTTTACTAGATTAACTCTTGCACTCTAAGCTATAGTTAGATCATACAAGCTTAAATGTACCTCCCATCACCAGACACAATGTTCTCTGATATGATTTTTGAACTGTACATATGCAACCAAGAAAGTCCAGTGAATGAACTCTGAAAGTGGAGCATTTCAAATTGTATCCAGAAAAATTGAGAATATTTTTGCATATGAATTAGTTTCTAACCTACATTGCAGTAACCAGCATTCAGCAGAGGCTCCACATTTGAGGGTTCAAGTTGACTGACTGCAGCCTTAAGCAATCTGACACAGTGAGACCTGCTCTGAGCAGGGCCTGGATTCAGGTGACAGTGAGAGTTCCTGTCCAGCCTGAATTATTCTGTGATTCTAAAACTGACGTGAAGAAATTAGAAATATTTTCCTTGAAGATGCTATTAAATTAAAATTTATGAAATTCAACTTCATTTCTTATTCATATAAAGGCTGGAATTTTGTATTTGCTATTTATAATTGTTCACAGATAATATTTTCATAATTATATGCAAAAGCATTTATTATTATTTATTTACGTTTTGCTTAAGGTTTGAATAAAATAGAAAAAGTAAATTTACTAATCCATAAGTGGTCATACTAAAGCATACTGGGTGCCTGTGGTTTAAACCCCATCTCTCCAAGGAGAGATTTTTAGCTAAAAACTCTAAAATGGTGGTTGGAAACAGACACCAATATCTTTAATTCTGCTGTGATGGAAATTGATGATGTAAAATGACAATTGCTAATGAGAAAAACTTCCCTGCAAAGTTGTAATAGCAACTGTAAGAACACTTGCTAAGAGATAGACCACATTTAGGAAAGCCAAATCTAGTTGATCTCACCTTCTCAATTCCAAATATCCTTTGTGGTAGCTACATTTCATTTAGAAAAATAAGTCTAAAGGAAGTACATACATGGCAGGTAGTTTGGCATCCACCACTTCTACATTTCTCAGATGTACAGCAGCCAAGAAAATGTTCCAAAATTTAATTCTTTTCAGATAGCTGAGCTCGTGTAAACTTTACTCTTGATGAAGACTACAGATGAAATATCTGGATACTGTTCCAAATAAGGCATTAAATGTCTCCTACAATAGAATACATCATGTTCTCCTGATTTCTCCCTTGTTCAAAGTAATTACGAATTCTGAAATCACACTGTGGAATTTTGATGATGTTTTTCATAAACTAATAAGAAAACTCATTCCAGAAAAGCCTGGTTTTTGCCTACCACGGTATCTCCATCATACCCATTCTTTGGCTGCATTTCAAGTAGCCTCACAAAGACACTGAAAAGATAATGAAAATTCTTGAACTGTTTCTTGTCTGTCCCTTGTATTATCACAGAAGATGGATTTCACTGTTGAACTTATTTCCATTAAAATTTTTTGAAGAATTAATAATTCTGGAACTAAGCATCCATGGTTCTTACCTCAGCTTAGTCTGAAGCACTGCTCCAATTGGTTGCCTCTGTTTTGCACCACGTTTTTCATATTGAATATTCTCATAGCACACACATATCCTCTGGTTGAAACTAGTGACACGAGGGATCCTCTCACTTTAAGCCGGAGTTTACCTGGCATTGAAGGGGACTGAGGTCAGTTGACTTAAAATGGCTAATCTGCAATCTGCACCTGCTGAAGGGATAAGTAAATCCAAAGGGAGAGTTTCATAAATTCCCAGAAAGATCTTGGTATCATCGTAATAGATCTGACAGCACTCACAGTTTGGCTGTCTTGACAAAGAAGAATCACAACCAGCTTTGGTGTAGTTCCCCAGCAGGAGGTAGTTCTCAAAATGCTATCAAGCAGCCCCTGCCCTCCTCATCTCGTGGCTACTTGTCATCAACCCCTCTGCCAGCTTCCACCAACACTGAGGTCAAATAATAGATGTGGGAGAGAAAGAGAGCAAGGTGTACTTTCACACTTTGCCACTTAGTTCTCTGCATCTCCTTTTTACATCATCATTTACAGAGATACTTCCACAGAAGTGGTCTCAGGGCAGGGCACAGACCAGCATTTTCGTAGAAAATCCCAGAATTTGAATAGGATTCTATTAAAAACTGCCGTATGAGCTTAAGGTGCTTTGGAATTAACCTTGGAGCACTTTTTGTTGAACCACCTATTAAAGCTCTACATTGAGAACAATATTCACTACTGCCTTCTACAGAGTTTTTGCTGGAACTTGTCCTGTTCTGCTTCCTGCCTGTCATAATCACATCATCTCTCCTGCAAGCAGAGCCTTTCTCAGTTCTGGAAACTGGCTGAGAATGACCCAGTAATGTGCAAAAGAAAGTGATTTCCTGCCTTGAATAAGTGCTGCGTTCAGAAGAATTTAATTTCACTGTCATCCTCAGAGCTGGCAGGAGGAGTCACCAGTTTGCTGACCAAGGCTGCCAGTGAGGCACACGCTGTGCTAAGGGGAGCTAGCAGGGGTGATGATTTCATCTGGCAGCACCCAACGCTGGCTGTTAGTGTTGGCCCTTGTCCATTTCAGCAGCTATATGGACTAAGAAATTTCAGGAACGGTCATGAAATTATTACCTTAAATCGTCTTCAAAGAGTTGTCCTGATTTATGATTGTCTTAAAGCACATAAACACATTTTAGCACATTTTACCCATTTCAAGGGATACCCAATACACAAGGGAATTTTTCCCTTCCTTCTTAGGGCTGTAAAAACAAAACCAGGATGCTTCTTGCCAAACTTGCTCAGAGTTTGCACAGATTTGTTCTGACAGATGTGGTGGAAAACTGTATCCAGTCTTTTGAGTACTGGCCCACGCACCTCCTCACATCTCAATAGTGCTCCTGCCAGCTTCTAACGCAGATCTCTACCAAAAGATTGCTTTTGTTTGGACTTCAAGTTTAAAAAACAGGCCGTATGAAACCGGTTGTCATTTTGGATCTGTAAAACACAAAAACCCGGGCTGCGAAGGGATTCCCGCCTCTCGCGCGCACATCACGAGCCGCCCGGCAGCGCAGCTCCCCTTTCGCCGCCCTGCTGTCCCTCCGCGCGCCCAGCAGAGGGCGCTGCCGCCCGCCCCTGGGCTGCGTGTTGCACGAGGTGGGGCGGGCGGCGCGATTAATCCGGCAGGGAAAAACCTCAACCCCCCGCCCCCCCCCCCCCCCATCCCCCCATCCCCCCGGCCTCCCGTCCCTACTGTCGGGACGCGGTGGCACACCTACGTTGTTTTTCTCCTCTGGGATGTCTCAGCACGAACCAGACCAACCGGTTGGGTTCTCCTTTCCACGCACACAACAAAATGAAATCTGACGGCTGATGGCTGCTCTCCTCTGGATGGCGGTAACGGCTGCTTACACGCCTCTGACCCGCTGCTGCCATCCCACAGCGAGGGGTTTCCTCCCCTTTGTCAACGCGCGGTCCAAAACAAACATTTCACTTCATCCGTTCCGTGCTGGATTTTTAAACCTTAACTTGAAAGCTGAGAACGCTTTCACTTAAGAGCTTGTTTAATGTAGAAATCACGTTGCATGAGCACTACGTATGGAAACAGACCAGGAGCGGGAGGGATGGAATCAGTGCTGGATATTGCTACTATTCCTATCTGGTTGTGCAAAGCACGCTGCTGTAAAAGTCCAGTCCTTTGGCGTTAGGCAGCAAAGCAGCACTAAGGTACCCAAGTGCCCTGCCTGACAGTCTGCCAGGACATCCGCTGCTTCAGGTGTTCTCCTATAGCAAATACATACACTCAGGGTAATTTCCAAACACCCACAGGGCAGCCGTGTTTGTCAATTTGAACAGGAGAGACCACAGGAAAGTTAAGCCCTGCTCCCAGGCATCTGACCAAGGCTGTGCTCAGACGCAGGGCTGGGCCCAGGGCTGCCACCCTTCTGTGCTGCTGGAAGCATGCAGCTCAGAGAGAGGCCTGCACTCACACAGCTGAGCCCAGTGATGAGGCCGCAGACCCCACGTGAGCGTTCAGCTCTGGGTCCACCTGCAGAGCTACCTGCAGGCATTTTGTGAGAGCTGGGTGCTTTTGTGCCCCAAATGCAAAGCCATTTATGATACTGTTCTGAATCAACTCCTATTGTCCTGATCTTCAACAACATGATAAGGTTTTGTCCATTTAACTCTTTTTCACTCATCCCAAGGAGGGAAGCAGAAAAGCCAGTTCCCCGAGGCTCCTACCTGAGAACAGGAAGTCTGCTGTGGTGGCAGAAACATCACCTCAGCCCTGGAAGCAACGTGCTTCAGCAAGGCACAGAATCCCCTGTGATTCTTTAACATACATGGTTGCCAGTTTGCTGCTGCTCTGGCAACCGTGTATGTTAAAGAATCACCTCCGGCTGCCATGAATCCAGCTCTGCAGTGTGGAAGGGAGCAGAGAATCAGCGGCATAGCAGCCTCCTCCATTACGGCTCAGGTAATTTGCTCTGGGAACATAAAAGAGGTGCCCAAGAGGCTTTAAAACCTGAAGATATCACTGGGAAATAAACTGCCAATATCTCCTAGCAATTGCCTAAGCTTTTTTTTTTTTTTTTTTTTTTTTTTTGAATACCAGAAAACATGAAAAACAATAACGCAACTAAGAAGGTGATATCACAGCTTGCCACAAAGCTCAGCTTTCAGCCTTTAAGGAGATGAAAAAAGGTAACTAAATCATTTTTTACAGCGTTTTTTCTGCAGGTCCATACCTTTGAGATTCCTTGATCTGCTGCAAAATTTTCTCTGAAGACTTTATTATGAAGTTCTGGTCCTGGCACCAGTTTGTCAGCAGATGACAAAGCACTGTGAGGTGCCTTCCCAAAAGGTTTCTCCATGGCTCATTTGTGAAGAGCTGTTACTATTCCTGCTGACTTCTGAGCTCAGAAAAGGCAAAGAAGGAAAAAAGAAGTTAAGAGGAAATACATCAGTGGTGGTATTTTCTTTCTTTCCCTATCACAGGCCCCCCTCCCAACTCCATTAGTTTGCTTTTTTTCACTGTGGTATCAGATAAAAAAAAAAAAAAAGAGACACATGATGCAAAATATTAAATAGCTTAAATGGTCACCTGTGAATGTACTTTTACTAGATAATTTTTTAGGCATAAGCTTTGTCCAATCAATGGGAAGGAGGCTTCTGCCATATAAAAGCATGACGGGGCTACCGCATCCCTTAGCTCACTCAATCTGCCATGTGAATCATCGACTAGCACTCTGTGCAGTCTCATTTTTAATCAGGTGTGGCTCATAAGCCTCCCTTTCCCTTAGCTCCAGGCTATGCCTGTACCCGTTTCCTAGAGGACCGTATGGACACATGGTATAATACAGGCATGTCCAACATGTGGCCCAGCCCCTGCCCTCTCAAATACTGTTATGGTGCTCTTTGTATCAATTGTAGTTTCCATGGAAATAAAAAATAGGCATTACTTTGTGAGTGACTTTTGTATACATGGCCCAAACCTGTTCACTGAGTGCGACCCGGGCAAGCCAAAAGGTTGGACACCCATGATGTGATAAAGAGAAAACATGCAGCAATATGTAACTTTTAAGATTGTATTAATCTCCCTGATGCACAAAAACAGAGGCCTTTGGGAAACAAAATGCTTTCCTGCGTGATGCAGGGCGCTGCCGTGACAGCCAAGATTAGGAGGAAAGAAGACTGCAGAACAGCTCGGGCTGAGGGCCAAAAGCTGAGACATTTCAGGTTCACTGTGAGGACAGAAGAGCACCGTGCACTTGAATTTCTCTCTGCTGGCACTATGACTGCGCTCAGCCAGTTAGCAGGTTGGGTTATATGTGAGCTCAGTCTGAAAAGGGACTGCAAGAAGATTAAAAATTCATGTGTGATGAACTTCTAAACTAAGTGAGATTACTAAATGGAAGACTGTTTTGTTTCTGGATTATTCAGAATCACTCTTTAAATTACAGTTTATAAGATATGGTCATTTTGCATTATAATTTAGAAGAATATATATTTGATTTTTACTGGCAGACCTTATGTCAGAAGTCACAGAACTGCCAATAATTTATTAGGAAAAATGCTGACTCTTAAAATAAAGAAAAGCAAATAACAAGTCAGCTTGGGACAGCAATCCTGTGTACCACAATGGAGATGTTTGGCACCTGTAGGAACTCAAATTTAACTGCAAGTCGGCAGTCTTGCAGCTCTCCTTGCAAAAAATGGGGCATTTCTCTGAAATGCCTCCTGCTATTTCCACAATCTAATCAGCAAGAGCAGAGTCCGGAGCCTTACAACAAGCTTTCTTCCTTTCTCATGCAAATGTGGTGGCGGTGGAGCCTTACAGCACAGCTCTCTTGTAGGAATGAGGGTGGGCTTTCCCCCTTCAGCGCAGGGATAACATTGAATGTGCTTTCTGCTATGTGTCGCATGCGTTCATGAACTTCTCTGCAATGCTATACGAGGGGACAATACAAGTTCAGTTCATCACCATTAGTACTACCTTCAGGTTTGTTTCACTGAGTGATGTCCCGTTGCCTTATCTTCACGTATAGCATCAACACGCTGAGCCTACCTGCAGGAAATCTAAGAAAATAAGTCCCTCATTGTGGGATATAACTTGTTTTAAAAAGCTATTGTATAAAAAAATTCAACTTCATAAGTTGTTGGAGTTTCCTGAGGCAGTCTTGTCGTTGTTGATAATGCATTAATCACAATACATCAGCATGCTACAGAAAGATTTTCCAGAGGTAACGATGCCCTTTGTGTAGCAAGCAAGAATGACTAAGGCATGAAAGGGCACACAGTGCGGTGAGGCACTCAGAGTGAGGAGTGCAAGGGCAGAAAAGGCACACAGAAAACGATCACCTTCTGCAAGCCACGAAGAAGTAAGCAACAAAGGAAGTATACTTAGGGGAGAGCAATCAGGCTTGTGAAGAGAACAGACATGCATCCAAAGATCACCTGTAAACAAGGCTGGCTGCTGGGAGAATCCTGTGGAATCCAGAAGAAAGGGTCTGTTTTTCATGGGATGTACGCAGAGATCTGGTTATTCCATCACCCATGGGCTCTCTCCTGCCAAAGCTGCTGGATCTGAGGAATATATTGCAGAACTATCTGAACAGTATCTTGCATCTTGAAATTCAGTTTCACACAATCAAGCCACAGCAGTTCAGTGGTAAAGGGCTATAAACAGAAAGAAAGGACGGAGTGAGCGTGAAGCATTTATCCTGTTGGCAAGTTGCATTTAAATTGATTTGCAAACTGGTTTCTTTGTAAGGCCTTCAAAGGCCCCTCCTCTTCAGGTGGGTGTCCATATGAGAGTGTTTTGGGTTGCACCCAGATGGTCAAGGTCAAGATGCAGCCATTTCAAAGGCCAAAAATTGCCAAGCTGTACAGCTCTTGGCTAAGGGGAGCACCAACTCTTTGCTTAAGTAACTATTTGATGGAAGGGTGTAGGAGCTGCCATAGCAATCCAATGTCATCTATCAACTGACTTTTAAGAGGTATCAGAGACCTAACCTGCATTCTACAAAGCAGCTACAAAAAATGACCAGCAATGCTAAATAACAGATCAACAAGCTATTAGTTTCTTTAGCACAGACTTTTCTTAGATTTATTCCAAGATAAAAGGGTTTTTTCGTCATCTCCTGAACAAAAAATGCCATTTTGCATGAGTTAAAGAAATAATTAGACCCTTTTGACTGATGGAAATTGCTTGCTTTAAGCAAACGACACAAGATATACATAATAGGAATAAACAGAGTATTTTTTTAATCAAAAGTAAAAAAAAAAACAACACTAAAGTCTTTGATTTCACATCCTTAAATAGCATTAAGACAAACTGGTAGCTAACGAATGAAAATAATAATACATGTGCCTTGTGTATGAAACCCTATTAAAACTTTGGATCAGACATACTGCCTGGGAAAAGACAATTGCAGATGAATATTATGCCTAGGACTTGTCCCTGCTTTTTTCCTGGTCTGGCCTATTTTTCTGTGTTCTTATCCTCAGCATCTAGATAACAGTTCACTGAACACCTGAACAGTCTCCCAAGGAGTGCACATTTGTGCATGCATAACAAAGCAGCTCAAAGCCCGCTAACTTGCTCACATCAACAGAACAGACATAAAAAGGAAAGAAAAAACCAATTTACAACCTAGTGCTTCCTTTGCTCCATCTGTTTGTCACTGTGTGATGGGCCTGAATAGCAGGAGCTGGCAGGGCAAGGCTCTCAAGCTTTAAAACCTAGCTCTAGACAGGTGCTTCCAACAGGTATGTGAAATGAAGAGAGAATGGGGCTCTTTTCATATTGATAAATCAAGCCTAATCATGAAGAATCCTGAAAGTGTGTGAACTTCTGATAAGAGATTTATCAAGCATGTACTACACCAGCTGGTTGCTACACTAAATGAGCTGTTTTTCCTAGCAACCATACCTAGACAATAAGCTCACATCTACTGAAGAAGCACTTTGCTGTCAGTGGAGGTGCTGTTGTAGGAATTTGGGTGTGAAGCCAGGTGCAGACAAGAAGGACAGCCAGGCCTCCAAGTTTCTACATGCTCAGATGCTGGGGGAACTGAGGATCTTTTAAAAGTCTTCACTTCTGTGCATCTGAGAGTTACTCTTCATGAGAAAGAAAATGTATTTCACAAGGTAGATGGGGAGACAACAGAAATAACTGTCAATAATTAAACACAAGTCTGTGAGAAATGCCCATTGCAGATGTTCTTTTCTTAATACAGCATGGATTTGTAATTAAGTTTTAACAAGATTTCCTTGGCTCTAAAAGGACTTTGCATAAAAGCTTTTGTGGAAATGCAGAGGAAAGAGCTCCTGATCTAGAAAAGAGAAAAAGGAAGATGAATTTAGATTCTTTTGCTAGAATGTGACTGAGTTTGCAATTTCTTGGATTAAACTGGGACAGACTTTGAAAGACTCCAAAGATCTGAGAGTAAGAGAGACTTCAATCATTCAGTTTTTCATCACTAGCAATATTAAAATCCCCGGATAAGATTATTCTTTGTCTCATACTCATATAAATAAGGACTAATTCTACTTAGGAAATGCCAAAGTTTGATTTAGAGGGAATTATTCCTGACCATTCAAAGTGGTAACAGAATATATCTCACAGTGAAAATAGAAGCCAAGCCATTATCTGCCCTGCCCAGAGAACAGTAACATACACTGCAATCCCTATCTGGGTACCTCATCTGAAAGAAATCTGATGATTTTTCCTGAAGCTATTCTGGGATAATTGTATCTTTGTCCATTATAAATTCACATACATTTTTCTAAGCAAAGCAAGGGTCCCATTGGCACCATTACAAATAATCTTATATGAGTTTTCCAAAGGTAAGTCTTGCTTAACTTCAACAGGGAGTTAACTAAACACTCTACAGAAATTTTATTTGTCCTCATAAGCAATAATAGATCCCTGTAAATGTAAAGCAAGTCACACACAATCAAATATGCTGGCATAGGAGTAGTCATGCTCCCACTCCTATAAAAAGTAAATAAATGGTGCCAATAAAGACATGTCAACATGTAAGAAGAAACCTTTTGTTTTAAAGCATACATAACTAAAAAATATTTTATAAGCTTTAAAAAATTCATTAAGACTCAGGCCCTGGTTGTTGGAAAGCATTCTCAGTGACTGGATCTGTCGCAGTCTCTTTGGGGTGAATTCTGCATTTTCACATGCAGAGACCACAGAGCAAGCTCAACTTACTTGAAACTGGGCCCTACTCTTCCTGGATTGTCACTGAGAATAGGAATAAATTTGTCTTTGTCCGTCCTTTCCATGCAACCCTATCCACTGTATCTACAGGCCTGTGCTTTTTTCCCCATTTTGGGCTCACTCCAGGCATGCAGGGAACCTCTGCAAGTCTCCTGAACTACTGCATTTGCACAGAGAATGTAAAGTTGATGTATTTGCAATCATCAGCCAAACAAACGAGTATTCTTTTACCAAAAAATATTGAAATGTTTCACTGCAATAGAAGGCTGACATAAGAAATTCATATGGCAGCTGATACAGTCAAAGTGTCATAGGGATTAATGTATGGGAACATCTCTGTAGCCCACCTCTCTCTCACACTGCAGTCAGCCACAACTGTTTCAAAGAGGAGACACGCAGTAAACAGGATTAGGCTGAAAAAATGACCAACAGAATTTGGATCCACATACAAATTTTCCCAGGGAGTCCAGATTTCAGCACAACCTGTTTGTAACACTAAGAAAAGTGCAACCATAGACAGAGGACATCTCCTAACTGAAATGCTCATGCACAAAGATTTTCTACGCTTAACAGCTGGGCAAACTTTACAAGGTAATTAAAGGCATGTGGAGCCCTTCTTTGCAGCACAGTGAACTTTCATGTAATACATCTCAGTCACTGAAATGTCCCAAACTGAAGTGGTGCTTACAGCCAGGCTTGCTTTAGGAGACAACTATGTCACAAAAGCACTCCTGCCCTTTCCTGGGGAGTTTTTCAAACTGGCAAAGGTGAGGTAATGTATGTGTGAGATGGACAAAGACCAGCATTGTCACTCGTTAATGATGGCACGGGACAGAAGGGTGCTTCTGCACCTTAAGTATAACTGAAATAAATGGAAGTTTAAGCTGTCACTCTTACAGTTAGACTCTGTAACTGATAGATGGCTCTTCCAAGGTGCCCTTTTATACCAAGTCTCAATACAGAGTACCAGGATTTAATTCTGGAACTGATTCATAAATAATACTAAAGAATTGCATCAGTCAAATCTGTAGCTTTTCGTTAGTATCAGAAGTGCATAAACCATGTAAGACCTAGATGGATTTGGCAAACCATCTGAAGGATGTTTATTGACAGAAGAAGGTGAGTGCTACCTATGTTTGACAGGTCCCTGCCTTGTGAGTTAAATAACAGTTTTGGAAAATAAAACAAAACTCATGAGTACTTCCTTCAGTCTTTGGCCATCTGCATCACTTTGGAACATTCACATAAAATAGACATACTTGATTTTTTAACAGAAACATTTAATTCTCATTCACAGTTTGCTGTGAACAAAAACTTCAACACTTAAGAAATAAATGAAAGTGAGGAGCACATAAGATTCTTGCTACATCTGTTAGGGAACAGAAAAATATCTCAGAATCCCAGAAGCCTGGGGAGGGGAATGGGGATACTGGAGGAAGGGGATCTATCTCACGGGCTCTAGGGCAGAAGTGCTTATTCCAGCAAAGCTCAGGGCGCCTTGTAACATCATAGGAAGCGAAGCACAGACTATATCTTCCTAGTGAAAGATTTCAGAGAACTCCACTGAATATTTTCCTTCTGAAAGACCTTTTCATTTCCATTTTGAATAGTCAAGGAGAATGACCTAAGCTGGTATGTCCCTTACCACTGAGTGTAACATGTTACTTAACCTGCAGTGCATTAGCAGTACCTGGTATCCAGCAGACATGAGGCAACTCGCATTTCTAAGATGACAGAACCCTGTGTTGTGAGATTCTGTATTACAAGACTTCAGGCTCTAAATAATTACAAGGCTCTCTTACCTAGATTCCGGGACTTCCTTCATGGTTTTAGAGGAAGTATTTCTGTCTCTGGTACTAATCCATGGTAGGTTCACTCTTTGGAGCTGTGAAATTTCTTGTTACTCTATTTAGCAAAGACAGATCTTAGATATTTTAGTATACAGGAATACACAGTTGTTGCACTGATAAGAGATATGAGGATGTATTCATCTCGGTTTTGCAGGGTAGCTATAATGGTCTCTGACACATGGAGCTGTGAAAACAGTGACTGTTGGGCTCCAGAGCATTCTTTTTTTCCTGGGTATTCTTTGCACTGCTAACATGTGATAATGTATTGTTGTATGTTAATCCATCTTGTCAGCTCATCTGAAATAATCTAGCCCAACTGCTTTTGACCTTTATTGATTCACAAACCTCTAAATATTTTCCAGTGAGATTACAAACTCTCTGCACTCTGAATTTAAGCTAATTCTTAATAGCCTTGCTTTCCTTTGTTGTTTTTGAGGGATTTCTTGGAAATGGTCCCTTGCAGCGGTTGCAGGCCAGGGGTTGAAAACCGTTTGTAATTTATGGCCAACCTCACAGCTAGAGTAAGTTGGCATAATTCCACCGATTTCAAAGGAAAAATCCCCTGATAGGATCGGTTAGAATAATGCCTAGTTTATTGAACATTAGCTGGGGAACTTCCCCTGGTTTTAGTCCTTCTCTGTAGCTTTCACTGTGAATAAGACTGAGCTCCATTTCAACGTAATTATATCTCCTTTGGGAAATATTGCTTCCTTACTACCCAGATCAGAACACATTGAAAAGCCCAAGAGGAATCTTAACAAATTTCACATGGGAAAACTTACCAGTAAATTCTTCAAGTTTTATTTTATGCTTGATCTCAGGTATATCTTAGATGTTAATTTTTTCAGATGAATTCAGCTAGTACTCTTTATCTCAGCAGTGGTGCAGTGTAATGTTGTACAGCTCCTATATGGGCCAGACAGTTTTAGTATGATTTTTAGTTGGATTTTGAAATCAAGTCATTCTACAGTTAGGGTTGGACATGGTATCGTTGCCTCTGAACAGTGTTGCACTGATCTGCACCAGATGATTATGTGCCCAATTAAATTAAGATGCTCGAGGTTCCCCATAAATGCCAAAGATGCAATATTGCTGCTGCTTCTGAAAGTGCAGAGCTCAAATAGGAAGGTGGATATTAAGAAAAGTAATAATTAGATCTGAAATGTTAATAATTGGATGCCTTTTCTGAAAATAGTTACAAGTATTTACCTTTTAAAAGACAAGAAAATCTCCAAAAAATTACAGAAGAATGGAGAACTGTCTTTTATGCTGTTACTGCCCAGCTCACTCTGCAGCTCCATCACACCACAACGAATAACTAAAGAAAACCATTATTATGCAAACCACTCTAGCACAAAAGGGTATTACATATCTGGTACAAAAGGGGATTTCTTTAAAAAGCACAGCACATTCAGTGTTTAGGGTTTGCCGTTGAAATTCATGGCCTTGCTTGCCAGTATTATCATGCAGCTGGGTACTATGCTGCTGCTTTACTCTGAGGGGAAAAAGATCACAATGAAGATATTAAAACGGGTTCAATTTAAACTGTTGTATTCCATTATGTTGCAACACCAGTTTTTAATGATTTTGGTCACCTCTTCTCTAGCACAAAGGTCAAAATAAACACTAGCCACACAGACTTCGGCTGCACACAGAAGTGGTTGAAAGGCACGTCTTTTGATTGAAAAATTACCAGCGGGAAACAGTGGTAGGCATCATTTTAGTGCTGAAAACTAAGATGTTTGATAGGATTGACAAAATGCTTTTTCTTTTGTTTAGCAGTCATAAAACAGAAGTCCATCTTTCTGTGGAAAAAGTTTCTGACAATCTGTTATATTGATGCCATAAGTAAAATAAGTATTTAGTATTTAAATTATTTTTTTAATCTTTCCAGAAATTCTCTCCTATTTGAATAAAAGCAAAATCAGTTCACACAAAATATTCTTGGTAAGCAAAAGATTAAATGTAGTCTCTTAGAATGCATCATCTCTATGACATGAGTATTCAAACATGAGTTTGGATGAGTATGTAACATGCCTTTACAGGGTTAGGTGCCTCCTGCTTCTTCTGTGTGCAGCCTTCATTTTGTGATTAGTTTAAAACACCTTAAAAAGCATCAGTGCCTTTTCAGGTATTCTTTTTTGAGAATCACTATTGAGCCACACAGTACAAGTGAAACCATTTCAGAGGAACAGGTTAAACTTTTGTCATTTGCTTACGTCATCTGTCTCTCTCTGGCTGTCAGATACACGACTCTCTGGGCATCTTCAGCCACGTTTGCAAGTCCTTATTTCTGATTTTGTATTCTCTCTGTCCCGGAGGGCCACCAGAGGGCTGAGTGATAGGCACTCTTTGCTGAAAAACAAAGGAATGGCACAAAATGAACATCATTGTTGGGGGGTAGAAAAAAAAAAAGCTGTGGAATTGTTCCTTGGAATTGTTTCTTGGCATGGATTAGAAGAGAAGGCAGGCTCAGACACTGAACACACTGTGCCATACAAACATTAAATGCAGACTAGCTCTGGATGTACACTGAAGTTAGCAATAGGAAAAACAGGTTCAGCAAGCTACATAACAATGAATGTATAATTTGAACCAATGTTCATTTCCTTTACATCAAACTGAAAGAACAAGAGATGTTACAAAATACTGTCCCAATCTTGCTTGCTAAATATAGCTGTTATTTGTCCTGGTTGTTCATTTGATTACAAAAGAATGAATTCCTACTTTATTATTCCAAGTTGTTAGTAACTGTCAGGCATCAGCTATGTTAGGAAAAGTGGTGGTGGAAAAAAAAACACTGATCTCAAAATACCCAGAGGTCTGGAGCACCTCTCTTATGAAGAAAGCTATGAATAAAAACTGAAGTGACTGGGCTTGTTCAGCTTGGAGAAAAGAAGGCTCTGGGGAGACCTCATTGCAGCCTTCCAGTACTTGAGGGGAGCTTATAAACAGGATGGAGGGCGAGTTTCTACACGATCTGATAGCAACCGGAAGAGGAGAAATGGTTTTAAACTAAAAAAGGAGAGATTTAGACTGAATCTTAGGATAATTTTTTTTTTTTTTTTTACTCAGCAGCTGGTGAGGCACTGGCACAGCCACCAAAGGTTGTGGCTGCCCCATACCTGGAGATGCCCAAGGCCAGGTTGGGAGGGGACCTTGGCAGTCTGAGCTGGGGGTGGCAACCAGCCCATGTCAGGGGGGTTGGAACTGGATGATCATTAAGATCCCTTCCAACTCAAGCCAATCTATGATTCTATGATCAGGGTTGAGACAGATATTAGCATTTTTGTACAACTTTGTTTCTTATTTTTATCCATATCAACAATTAAAATCTACTACATGTGATACAGCATTCCGCTTTTCTTTCTTCTAATCTTTTCATTCTGTGCAAATTATTTAAAAATGTTTCAAGCTTGTGTGTTAAACATAGATGAAAAAATCGATATGCACCTTTTCTGGTCATCAGCGTGAATGGTACTTAAGCCCTTTATGCCTCTGCAGCCTGATTAATAAAAAGCCCTGCTTTCAGAAACTTAAGGCAGAAATGCTATGTGATCAGTAGTACAGTTCTGTAGGTAAAGTAATATTTCCAGCAACAGGATAGCATGGCATAGCTCTTTTAGAAGAGGCAGGTCTTAGTATCTTCATTTTAGAGATGGAAAGAATTATTCACAGAAGCTTAAAGTTGTTCAAGGTATAAAGCAGATACTTGCTCTTCCGAATCTCTTCTACCACCATATGCAAAGTTTGCACAGTTCCAATGATCGTGATGACTGACCAGTGCATATAGTGTGAGCTTGTGAACTTGTGACACTGGCAGTGCTGTGCAGAGCCTCCTACTAGAGTAGCTGGATAGTGCTAATGAGCATTCCTTTATTAATGGATGATGCATTACTCATGCTTCCATTTAAGTATGACACTTTTTTTCTACTCAGCAGCTTTTTATTTTTTTAATTAAATAAATTCTCAATGTTTCTGGCATAACCAGGAAAACAACACAAAATGAAGAAAACACGCTAGGCAAGACATACTAATTACTGTCTGTGATTAATTAGTAATTATAAGCCCACTCACAGAGTCTCAAAAGTTAGTGAGTAATTTGTTTGCATGAATTCAATAAAAGAAGGCAAATTTCAAAATACTTTCATTGGTATTATTTTAATTGACAGATGAGCTGGTTGGTTGCCATTGCTTCCAAAACTTAAACTAAGAATGGACATAGCAGTATCCTGTTCGTTAGGCTGATGAGGAATCAGAAGCCTAACAAACAACCTGTAGCAAAATAATTAGTCCTCATAGTCTACATTTTGCTCAGGCTCTCAATGAGACTCTGATTTACCAGACTGTAGCAGGGAAGCATTTAGCAATGATTTCAAGCGTTCTTCAGTTCTAACGCCAGGAAGCGTGTCAGACCCTAATGGCAGGTTTGACCACTGGCAAAACCCTGAAGTGTGGGCTTCTTAAGGAATTAGTCACAAAGTCTTGATGTCATAAGAGCCCTGGATATCCCTGGTAGAATTTAAGTGTGCTCCTTTGCTACACTTGAAGACTTGCACTTCTGTCTTCTATCTCATGTAGCCTTATTGTGAAGCCACGTGCTGTTACTGCTTCCTTTTAAGCTGGATTAGAGTGATTTTTTTTATTTGTTTGTATGTGTGTGTGTGTATGTGTGTCTTAAAGCAGTCTAAAAATATTTCCTCAGATTGCCTAGCCTGTGTTGTTAAATTTTCTTGCTTATTTTCTGTTTATCATTGCAAAGCCTGCTGAAACATCACAGTTCTTATAGAATTTTTAATTACTCTTCCATGGAAAAAATTGTTGTAAGCTTAAAACCAGGACACGAGTGAGTTACGTAGTTCTTCCTTCAGTTAACCCATCTTATGGCTTCAGAGCAAGGTTTTAAAATAGCACTATCTAAAAAAATAATGTTATGAATCACTACTTCTTACAAGATCTTTTGAAGTTCTCCCATTTCCTGTTTGTAAATCCTTAGTCTTTGCATTAAAATGTTCTCAGACAGGAAAACAATAACAATTGATTTACATGGACAAAAGCAGCCTTTCTGAGTTTTCAATCCAGCTTCCTCTGAGATCCCATTGACCTCCAAAGTTCAACTTCTTCCAAGAAAGTTTTCTTTGGGATTAATGGCCTTCAGAGTCAAATCATTGTTGAGTGCTATAGCCATTACCAGTGCTATAACTAAGGCTGTATCAGCATTTCCACATAAACTCTTATTTTCAGAGATTTATAGCTTGCCTACAAAAATATAGTTTTCTGCTGAAACTTGGAAGAAAAAGAAAAGCTCAAAGCTCAGTCTGGGAGTAATTTTACTTATTTTGGGAAATCTGCACAGCTCTGTGGGTATTTTTAGACTGAAATTCTGAACGAGATCATGTCTTGCTGCATCCACTTGGTGCCTTGGAGAATTCCCCGCCTGACTTTCTAAGATCTACTTCTGACAAATTATGGAACAGCAATGAGAAAAGTTTAAGCATGTTTTTTTTTCCCAGTGCTAAAGATTCCCAAACTGGATCTAGTCATTATTCTCTAGAAGACATTTCCAACACTTGAAAATTCTAAGATGTGTTTGAAGATTGCAACCAAACAAACGTGAGCTGAACAAAGTGTTCTGCAATAAATGGAGAGTTCTGAATGTTTCTGTTGCATCCTCATGCAGCATAATTGAGCATCATGCTGATACTTCTGCAGTTATAACCTCTGATAGACTGGAAAATGAGAACCCTGATGGTTACATAGAAGAGGCCCAAGAAAAGCTAAGGTGAAATGAGGAGTCTGGGGATACTGTGGCCTCCTGTTTCTGCAGAACCCATGACAGGGCCCTCATACACCAAAGAGGACTGCATGGGAAGGTGGAGGAGGCAGCACCTTTCTCAAACATCATGAAAGTAAATCTAATAAAAATTAGAGCTTTATAGATCAAGACAAGAAGTACTTACTCTGCTCTGCACACACCATTTCAGAAGAGATTTGGAGGCACCATCTGGAGGGAAGGATGACAGATGTCGTGGAGTTCCCAGTTTCCTTTGCAGGTAATTCCTGCAAAAGGTCGACTTGGTCCTGAGTCATTGCCACTGGGGATGAAAATATGCAGTGATACAACACACAAACATGTTCAAGGCTACAGATTTAATTGCTTCAAAGAAAAATGTACTCAGCTAAGATGATGACCCAGTGCAATACAGTGGTTCCCATGACTCACTCATTCCAAAATAGAAATCTGAGCAAACCAGAGACAATACCCTGCGTCCCCAAATCCCCCCAAAACTGGTCACCAAAACTAAAAATGCCTATCCAATCTTTCCTCACAAATATGGGATATTTTTAATGTCTGTGCCCAGCCACAGGATCACTATTTCACTTAGCTGAAACAAACCATACATTTTCTTGTCAATCACATGCCACATGAAGTAAAAGGCCAAGTCACCCCCAGAGCATCTTCTCATTTCAGAAATGTCAGTGACTACCTCAATTGCTCCTATAATCCAGACAGATCACCCTTACATTCATTCTGTTCTGTTTTCTAGCAGAAATATTTGCGCCCCCCCCCAAAACAGCAAGGCAGCGTCTTTGAAAACAAGGCAGTAGTAACCATACAGAAACAACAGTGCTGCATCTCAGTAGGAAATATTAGCCTTCTTATTCTTGGGAATGATCTATTCAAATTTGATCCAGAAATGTTTCTTTTTTGAGGGGGAGCTGCTCATTATGACTAGATAAATGCAGTCCAAACTCTGAAACTTCTTTTGAAGGCATGATGGCAGGGAAACCTCACAGATGGGATTAGAAGGAAGATAATGAGGTAGCTTCGCAGATGTCTAAAGGAGCCCTTCCCACATGTAAGGCATGGCATAGGATAAAGCTTGAAATGGAATGACTGAAAGTCTAAGAAGTGGATGGAGGAGGCTGGCATCATGGGCTAATCAGTGAAAGAAGTGGTTTCTTGATCCTGAATGAGAGATGATAGGTAGGATGAGGGGAAGCTACGAATGGCTTTGAAAGTGAAGACAAGCTGCTTATATCAGATAGAAAAAGAGTTTTATATTTGACAGTCAAAACGATGGGCTAGGAAAATGATCTCTGCAGTGCTATGCAGTGCAGATTCATCCCTGAAAAATTGCATTTGTCAAAACCAGAGGAATGGATATTGCAGCAGTCAACTTAGCTTTATGATATTTTACATATGTATTAGTTCTTGCATAATAATGATCATATAGTAAATTTTATAGCTTACAATTAACGTAATTGTTTTTAATGATTTTTGGAAACTAGTGACATTGTAAAGTGGGCATTTTGTTGGATATTTCTCAAAAGATTTTTTTGCAACATTCTTGTAAAAATTCCAGTTTTCTAAAAGAAGAAAATGATATACTTAACATCCTTTTTATATGCATCTCTTTTCTTTTTTTGGCTAAAGCCTTTCACTTAAACACAATACCTGAGGGCATTCAATGCTTATATCCATAGCACATTACGCAGTGACTTAGCTGGTGGTCTTGGTTTATTCCTCTCTGGGCTCTGCTGGCAGGAAAGAGGTTGTCCATTACAATTTGGAGATCACTCTGGAAAATCCGTATGCTGGATAACACATACATCAGGTCACTAGCATGCCACCTCCCAGACATGCAGATATAACAGCAATTCTACACTTTACTTGGAATGATGGTAGCATATAGTGGTTCTGGCTGTAATACACAAGAAATTCATTTTATTCCCTATTGTATCATAGCTTTCATTTCCCCCATGCAGAGACTGACTGCTGCATACACAGTCTTTCAGGGCTTTTCCTATTAATAGACAACCTGGCTTCACACGCTGAAATGAAGGAACAAGGTTTTGAGTGCCTGCCTAATTTAAGCAGACCATATGTCATATGCTATAGTATCCAGTCAGAGGAGAATAAAATAAAGCAAGATTGAGAGGTAAAATAGCTTCCTACCATTAGCTGAACTCTCAGACTCAAAATTCCAAGGACCTTTTTTTAAGCATGCTCAGAACTAGTTGCTTGTTCTACACATCACATGAAGTTACTCATATTTCTAATGCGTTCTTAATGGGCGTGCTGTCTCAGGAGTAGAATTTCTGAGCACTACTACAATACAAATAATAATCCTGACTTTTTTTTTTTTTTTTTTTTTTTTTTCCTCTGGAATGATCTTCAAGCTTTTAAAGTGTGTTTTAAACAGCTTCACAATTTTCTGCTTTGGCTTTCCAACTTGTTAAAACTGGAGTACAGTTGTTTACTATTTATTCAGTATGCCGTGACTGTAGAACGAAGCCTACAAAGGCTATTGCAAACCTTCCTTGGCACTAGTGGATGAATGTTGCTTTTTAAAGCACATTATATTAATTATTATTGCTTAACCAGTCCATCTCTGCTGCACAGTTGAAAGAAATGTGCTCTTTCAGACGCCTTGGCTGGTTATATAATCAGCATTCCTCACAAATGTTTGACTCATTAGGGCTAGCAATCACATTTTCCTGGCAAGTTGTCTAGGGCTGTCTGCAAGCAGTCAGAGAACTAGAAAATGTAATAATCTGATTTTCCATTTACTTCCTCCCCCTTATCTCAGACACTTCTACTGCAGCTTTTACCCCTTTGCCTTGTCTTTAGGTGTCTCTTGATAAGCAGCATTGCCAGAGCATTTTTTTCATGTCACAGAACGGATAAGAGCATGGTCAGCTGACAGGCATGCATGCTTCCACATTCTCAGGTTTTTAGGAAGTGCTATTCTGTACTTTCAGTAAAAGTCCAACTTCCATTACAATCCAAACTGGCATTGTCAGAGTCTTACACTGGTATGAAAAACAGAAAAGAAAGAAATTGCATTGCAGCTTAAGATTTCATTGTTTTCTTATCTTCTGCTTGCAACCAATGAGAAGAATAAAAGATACGCTGTCTCAAATGGGAGGGAAAAGATTAACAGAGAGAAAAAATTACTGGAAACAAGGAGTAATTTTCTGTGCATATTTTAACCAGCGATCATCTGGTTGCTTTATGAATCTGCAATACTACGTAGCGCCTGCAGTTTAGATACTCAAAAATCAGAAATGATTACAGTTTAACAAATAAAAGCCACATTTGGGAAAAAACAGCTTAATGGTCATTTATTCACTTTTGCAAATACTATGCTTCTTCCTCACCTTTCTCTTCGACTTAATCCAGTTAGTAGCCTACACTCAAAGGTGATGACTAAAGTTAAGATAAAACAGCAGTTATGAAAATAGGGAAGAAGGCTGATTTCAATCAACAGTAAAAGTTATGCAATACAAAGCTCTATGATGTGGCACACTCTGCTAGAAAAAACAATCTATGCTGCTGTCCTATGAAGCCTTCTGTGATATATGCCTGTGAGATGTGACCATGAGGACCAAATTCATATCTCTGTGGTATCTAAGAGGAAAAAAAAGTCTGAAACATCATCTCTGATTGTATATTAGAAAGGTCAGTCATCCTGCCACATTTCATGGTAACGCCTCACCCTACTGTAATTATCTGTGAATTTCTGACAATTGGCAACCAACAAAAAGGTAGACTTGTCTTACATTTCAAGGAGAGTTCTGAGCCAGAAGTCTGACTCTGTGCAGCTGTAATAGACAGCTGCATGTCTGTAAGAATTCATCTGCATCTGCGCAACGTAATCTGCGTATTTGAGCCACAATGTCCTCCAGTTTTGCAAAATGAAACTAGGTATTTTGGTATTTCAGATTTAAAGTGTTGAGAAAAAGACTTTGTAACAAATGTTTTCTCTTAGAGTAGTGGAGGTGTAATTTAAGAAATCATTTTGGCACATGTCATAGACAGCATCTTAGAAGCTTCCTCAGGAGCCTAGCACTGGAGTTGCACTGCTCCATTTGCTTCATCTTGCTCAGTGCAAAAGAGAAACTGAAAAGTCAGGCTTTCTCTGACCGCGTGTTCCCTTTGAAGAAGGAGTTGTAATTGTTGGCAAGGGAAGGAAGGAGCTAGGACAAAACAAGGGAAGGAAGAAGTTGTTATTATTTTTTTTTCCACCAGCCAGCTCCTTAATTTTGCTGCCAAGATTATAACTCTAATTTACAAGACAAACATAAATCTATTTATATATTATTTAACTTGAATTACAGAAAATGACATGGCGTTTGGGTAGCAATCTTTGGATATTCAGAGAAGGGAAAATGAGGGAAATACGCAAATGAGACAAGGGTCATTCTGATGCTAATGAAAAACGTTCCTAGTAAAAAAGAAAGTTTCTGTTCATGCTTAAGGTATTTTTAAGTCATTGCATAATTTTTTCTTTTTAAATGTCTCTTATTATGGAGATAAGGTAGAAATGTCTAAGTACTTAGATGTAGCAATCTCTAAGCATTTAAGCAAACAATGACTCCTTGAGAAGGATCAATGAAGGAAGCCTCCCTGTAGTCTTCTTTGAATAATTTATATGTATTTTGGGATAATCAGGACCAAAATACATCAACATAAAAGAATTCTCCTGATGAATTTATTAATTGCAATAATTATTTAATGTAACATGTTAAGATTCACGATGATAGTATAAAAGTTAATGTCATGAACTAAGTTGTGAGGATCTTCTCTGCAGAATTTGCATATATCAAAATTATTTGGTAGAGCCTATCTGAAATATATGCAAAGTCTGTGTTTTTAAGTGGGAACAACCCATTACATCACATTTTGCAATGTAACACCCCCTTACAAAACTTTTCCACTTAACTATAACTCGCTTAAAAATGACCAATCTATTCAGCCTTCCCAGAAAAAAAATGAAAGAAAAAAAGTATTTGCAAATACTAAAAAAGATAGAATTACTTTGTTGTTGTTGTTATCACATTGTAACTACATGCCTGACCACAAAGAGAAGCAAGAATTCAGACTTTTGCATGAACAGCCTCTGGAGATACCAAGAATCACTTTTAAACTGAAAGATGGAAAAAATCCGTTTCTGCAAAATATATTTTTTATAAAGCAAGACTCCAACAAGGCAAACTTTATGATAGTTACACAATGTGGGAATATAGTTAAAGAAATCTGTAGCAAATCTATCTGAAAGATCAAAAGTAATGAGGCTCTTCGACTCCGTTTCCACTGACATAATATCTTACATTTATTGGAGGACTAATGCCTTCCATACATTACATTAAAATTTGACCTTCCTTTCTTTTTACTACATTCTTATGTCACTTCTAAAACAAATCTTTCTCTGCCATTAGGGAACATAGATGGAATAATGGGCGCGTGCCTAGAAACATAACATAAAAAAATTGTGAAAATAAAAGGAAATGAGGCAGTTTTTCAAAGGAATTAAAAATCAAGTAGCCAGACTTCATCTCTAAAAAAGCTGGAATTTTGTTAGATTAAATCCCACAGTATTATATATTCATCCAGATTTTTGAGCAATCTGTAGATCCAATACTTAAGCTAAAAGATTATTTATCATTACAAATATAGTTCAAAACCATGTATGAGTATCATAATAAATGTTAGGGTGCCTCATAACCAAAATGCAAGTAGGAAAAAAAACCCATATATTATTCAATCATAGTTATTTAAATTAAAACTATTAATTGGAGCCCTAAATTCAATTGCCAAATACCCTTAGCTATGACTTTTTTTGAATGGAGACTGCACTTGTGCTGCTCTTCTCAGAAAATCCCCCTTAATCAGGACTAAAGAAACAGCTGCAAACATTCAACAGCTACAAATATCCAACAGGATTCAGTTTGGTGAAGTTTCCTGATGTTTCATTTTGTATCTTCAGTTTTACCAAGTTTCCTAGTGAGAATCAGTTTTGTTTTTAAAATCTGGAAATGATTCTGATCAAGATGTCAGACACTGGCATCGTACTTAGTTTGAGCTTCTCTCTTCATAATGGATGTTGAAAGACAATGGATGTTTAGTGTGAGAATAAGCACTAACACGTCTGGGTTGTTTCTTTCCAGATCCAAGCAAACTCACAAAGCAGAAAGGGAGAAATGACAGTATCCATTTGGTTTTTGGTCCATCTGGAAATAGGTCACCTAACTGTGGTTTTTGATCTGGGATTTAATTGTGGAGTATTTCCTTTTTTTTTCTGGGAAAGAAACAGCCTTCCCTTACCTTAACAAGTAAAGAATCTAACTGAATAATTTAGTTTCTCAAAATATTCAAGGGATCCAAATTCATAATGAAAATACTCAATGCTTTCACTGACTCTTTTTGGGAAGTATCTTATGTAAAGCCAGGATCTGGCATGCCTTAGAAACTATACAGCCAAAAAAAAGTAGTAAAGGCAAGGATCTCTGAGAAACTTGCTGCTGCTGCTTAGCTGGTGGGACTTGGAATCGCAAGGGGTGTCATAAAAGCCGGATAGTCTCGGGGAAGGCGAAAATAGGTCTCATTTTGACACTTTCCTCCAAAACTAGCTTCTTCTTTGTTACTATTTACTATCCATTACATGCAACGTTTTCAGACAACAGTCTTTCTAGCTTCTCTTTAATACCAGAAAAAAATGGTCTGCCATTAGAAATGGCATTCTCCCTCTTTCACAGATTTATTGATGCTCATGCAAAAAAAGTTGCAGGTCTATGCTATTTCCTCAGTTATTGTCAAATGGAAAACCTTTGCGCAGTGCAGTCTGAGAATGGAAAGCTTCTGGAGCTAATGTTCAAGGTTTTAATGGCCCTGTCAGAGTTCTATTCAAATGGACAGGTGAAACCTTAGCCCCCACTTAACCCAACAAGAACCAGAACTCATAATGCTGGCTGCTTGTCTTGTTCATTCTATCCATCATCCGAATTCACATTTCACTACATTTCACTATTTCTGAAAGTAATGCCTCCTACTTTATTATGTTGACCCACAGTGTCAGAGATGTATGGTGGTATGGCAGTAGAGGATGAACCTTCCTGCCAGTATTCCATTACATGTTGTTGCTGTGTGACAGATGGCAGCAGAGGGGCAGTCTGACAAAATGGTGTCTGACATGGAAGTGCATATGAAGCAAAAGTGTGTCACTGAATTCCTCCAAGGGGAAAAAATGGCATCCACTGACATTCACTGACACTTGCTGAACATTTATGAAGACCAAATAGAGGATGTGAGCACAGTGAGGCAATGAATGGTGCACTCCAGCAGCGGTGACAGCAACCATGGGTCACCTCTGCTGATGCAGATTGTTGTAAGGTGGCATGCAGGTTCCTGCTCATTGCTGGTGAAAATGCACAGGTAATGGTTATGCTTGTGTTGAAAAACAGCGTTCGGTAGCTGAGAATTTGCGCTCTCAAACAGTGTTATTGTGCTCAATGTACCAGCTGTATTCCCATGGAAATAAATAGGAGGCATTACTTTCAGAGTGACCCACTTACCTTGTATGTGGAAGTATCTGAATGCTGAAATCATATATTGTGAACGCTGAATTAAAACCTTCACTTCTAGTTGTATGAAACATCACAGGGATCCTTTCTCTGCCATACACAGATCTATTGGGAGACAGTTTAAACACTGGGGGAAAAGGGGAAAAAAGCTCACAATGTGGAAATCATTGACAAGTGCTTTTTATCCAATAATAAGAGGAAAACTCAGAATGTAAGCTTCCCAAGACTACCCAGAAATACTTTGAAGTGCTTGTTGCTTAGTGAATACATGTTCAGGCTCTGTCTGGAGAACCAATTCTCATTTTAAAAAGAGGGAAGGAAAAGGAGCATGCAGACTGCAGTAGAATAGAAAACACGGCTTCCACAGCCTGCTCTTAATTTAGGAGTGCAAGAGCAGCATTTTAAGGGCATTTCCTGAAGAGAATAAATATTTACACACACCCCCAAAAGTAGGAATGTAAAATATTTTGAAAAATAGTTGTTAGTCTAATTTATACTTTTTTATTTTATTTTATTTTATTTTATTTTGGAAGCTTTAAGGCAAATTCAGTGCTGTGACGTGTTTGCTCCAAGCCCTCCTCATCTCTGACAATACACCATAGCATTAAAACAGCACTGCTGTGCTTTCTGTAGGGGGCAGTCTGATCAAAGCTTTTGTTTTCCAGTAAGAAAAACACTGGAAAAGACTCTTTTGCCAAACCAACGTGTAGAACATTAATGTTCGATGTCCAAAATGCTTTCAGTGCTGGTTAACTATAATTATTTTAAAATTTTTCTAGTGGAGTATTCAGAATGAGTCATGTAGAAATGAATATTTATGTTCCTTCTGACCTCAAACATTCATGGCCTTGCACAAGGTCACGTAAGGAGACCATGGAAAGCTTCCACATAACTAACTTGATAATTTCTCTCCTTAGTTCAGCAAGCTGTGTGTGTGATATACACCACATGGTTTTTGGTGCACTCAGAATCACATTAAGTTCTCTTAAAATTCATTTTATAACTATTTAATTGTGAAAGATGATAACAAATTATACAAGGAATACTGGAGCAGGGAGATGAATTGTAAGGGACAGCATTTTGCTGCTGCTGGGGTTATTTTTAAATCTGGCACTGATTCCGTCACCATTACACATGCTGTTTCTCCCAAAAAGATATCTCAAACGCAGCATAAATTTCCAAGCCCAAAGACTAAGAGGTTTCAGAAAAAATAAAATGCAAAAGCAGCTGCTTTGCTTCTTGAAATCTTTCTTGGATCTCCTAAAATTATTTTTCTAGAGCGACTGTGCTTCTGTGTTTTCCAGACAGTTTTCAAAATATTTCTCACGCAGATACAAATGCACAAATTAAGAGTACAGTTCAGATCAGGAGGACTGATGAGTCAGTTATATACACAGCAACATAATGAACTGAATGACAGGAAAAGAAAGAAAAGGCAGATTTAGGATTCCTTAAGCTTGAGTAAGAGGAACACAGATCAAACTGAATATTATGTTTCATACAAGGAGTTATTTTGCCACTTTAAAATGCGGCAAGGGAGGCAGAACTTAGAGTGATGAAATTCCAGTGCCCAAGAACTCCAAACATCTCTGGAATTGTGTGCAGCGCTTAGCAGGAAAATGGAAACATTCAGGGCCCAGAACTTGCAAGCATTACAATATTTTTCAAAGGGCAGCCTGAAACAAAGCTGTCCTGCTGCAGAATGAATCTTCAGAACTACATGACTTTGCCCAGAGTTGGAATAACAAACACCGCTGGAAAGAATATTTTTGGTACAACAAAACAGTGTGGAAAATATATAGAAAATTATATTGGTCAGAAAAAAACAGGTGGGGGTTGAAAAGGATGGAGAATAAATTCAGTTGTATTAGTGTGGAGGACAAACACAAATGTCTTTTTCCATTATGAATTTTCACTTGCTTTGATTACTTGAGGCCAAAGCAATAAACTAGTTTGTTCCTTTTAACTTTTAAATCAGCTTTTAACAGCCAGTAGTACTGAGTTAAACAGGAGCTATTGCTGAAGTGGGTGCATTCAGCACAGAACATAGCCTACTGTTGGAATAAGCAATTAGGTCATAACTTTCTCCATTATTCAAAATAAAAAAGAGAAGACCTTTGGAGAATATCCTGTTGGAATAACCTCAATATATAATTATACCTATTTTAGCTTGTTTGTTTACTTGTCTTTTTCTTATTTTAAAAATATATATAAGGATTGGAGTGAAATGATTAGAAAAGGTGAGTTTGGGCAGTCTTCACTTAGCAGCCCCAAGGGATAACTCCACTCAGTGGCCAGCTGAGATTGAGGGCAATTTCCTCATCACCCTCTCAAGAGTGGCAGGCACAGATCAGGGTGGGGGACTATATCATTGCTCTCACCTTCATGCTCTGGGTAGGAAGCCTTCCCTTTCTCTTCCTAGAACATATCCTGGAAACTTTTATTTCCTGAACTGCTCTTGCCTCCCCCAAGAAAAGATGCAGGCTCACTGGAAGCATCTCAAATGCTGAATTTGAGATGTGGGCTACCAGCTGGCCCTGACTAAGTTTGTTATATGGGAGAGAGTTTCATTTTCTTGATATAAGTCCCTCTGCAGATGTGAAAAGGATTGGGAGGGAGGGGGGGTAGGGTGGAGGGAAGGGATGGGAAATGAAGGACCAAATCCTCTTTCAGCAGAAGAATACAGCTAAACTTCCACTCAGACACAGAAAAATGAGTTCTAAATGGCTTCTTTTAGGCAAAGCATTTTTATGGCTACAAATAATAACAAATTGCAAATATTTAAGATCATATAAGACACTTTATTTGTATTTAAAGCATTTCTGTTTTCTTGTAGTTTCATAAGGCCTGTGGCTATCCACTACATAATTACACTGTAACTCTCATTTGTATTAGTTATACCTATATCCTACTAAAGGTTTATTAACTTATATCAGCAAAACAACTACAGAATATTGTGCGCTTAATTTACAAGTGAGATGGTTCTCCAAGATCACAAAAACTATTAGCTATAATGGCTACAGTAACTACACGAGCAAGACAAACTTGAGGCTTCATCTGGCATCAACTTGTCTGGGAAAAATGTTGTCTGCTGCTTACCTCCCAGAATTTTTTTTTTTTCTCTCTTGACTTCCTCCTCCCTTCAGCATCAACAAATCCCGTCTCTACAAATCCAGAAGGTGAAATGCTTGCGCTGCTGTAGGCTGCTCCTTTGGATGGCAATTCTCTGGGACAGTCAGGTAGGCATTCCTGAGTTTCCCTTTTTAGAATTCCTTTAAGAAGAGTCCTGCAGACATGAGCACCTTTAGAAAAGCTTTTATATGTATTTATTTAGGAAAATATACTAATCTTCTAAAATTGGATCATTTTACTGAAATGCTTGCTAGGGATTTATCAGATCCATCTTCCAGGAAAATTGTCAGCTCTCAATAACAGCACTTAGTCACTCTTTCACAGCATGACTCCCATCCTTAATCATCACGAGTAAAGCTAGGAGTTGCCTGTTTGATCCTGCTAAGGTATTAAAGCATGTTACATCAGCTGAACGATATCTTAGTGGAGAAATACCACAAAATAGAAAACTAAGGTAAATGTTTTAATATCCTGAAATAAAGCTTCTAAATCAAAAAGAACAACTTGAAATCCAGATCAGTAGTACAGTAATTGCTTATCCATTCTTACCTATTTTCAACATGGAAGAAACAATGCTCAGCATAAAATGCTGAAGACCTACCTGAAAAATGAAAGAGTAACATTGTTTTTGTCAGAGGCTAAGGAATATGACTTTGTCAATTAATGCTCTTATCTTCCACAGCCTAATTGGGAGTCTGCATGAATACTTAATGGCAGAGGATAGATAGCAGAGAAGGGCAAGTCAAGATCTGTCATGCTGGGATCACTGGCTGTCAGACAGGAAAGGCAGAGGCTCAACCACCACCCCTCCCCATGCACGCCGGCTGTGTCTGCCACGATGGGGGAACATGTTGGTGCCCTAAGGCTAAATTCTATCCGGCTGATGGAAACATGGATGGGTAGGTTGTGCTTTGTCTAAGACATTTTCATGTCATTAGTGTTAATGAGGCAGTACCCAGCACACCATGCACACCTTCACTCAGCCCTGCCCTTTGTGCCTCCTTGGAACATGTTGTTTCAGGCTCCTGACCCCTCACTGTTCTCTGATGCTCAGTCTCCACATCCTTAACCCTGGACAGACCCAGCTCTTCAGCATGTTTCTCACACAAGCAGTTGGCCTACTAAGAGGCTAATGCAAAATGCTAACATTTTTGTTTCAGGAACAAACAAAATGCACACAGAAAAAAAAAAGAAAGGGCAGATTCTGGCTGAGCACTACAGTTGACCAGAGATGTGGCATCTAATCAAAGCGTTTCTAGAGCGAGAAAGAAAGGTAAGATTGCAAGTACCTGCAAGCAGTTTGGGAAGATGCTGTCAAAGAACTGTGTAGTTTGCAGTGTGAACATTGTCTCATAAATGTTTTTGTGGGGCTTTCAACAATGATATAAACCTACTGCATCAAACTGAGATAATGACAAAATAATCATACTTCCTGCTATAGAAAAAAACCTCAGGTCTTTGGAGGGCAGTAAAGGATTGTTTGGTGCTTGGATGTTGGATAACAACACTAGGCTTTTTCTGTTTTTGTTATTAAAGGCATGTTTAATCTCTAACTTATCTGAGGTTTGGTGTTTGTGGGCCTATAATTAAATTAGAAGGAAAAGAATAGCGGGAGTGTTGTAAAATTATTTCAATGAACTTTTTATTGTTGTATTTAAAATATGTACTTCAAGTTCTGTCCTTTATCCAGAATTGGACATTCACAATAATTACATTATTTAGGCATATTCTTGTTTTTAAGAAATATATGATACTTGTTTAAAGGGACTTTAGGATTGATTAACCGAAGTTAATTTTATTAAATGGAGCTGTAATTTGCTGCGTGTATTGCTGAAGGATGTGATTGCAAAGATGATAGTTAAGTAACTGGAAGTTGATTACACGTAGAAAGTCCATGGAGACTGCATCCTGTCATGAATCTGCAGTTTTTAAAGATCCCAGTGAAGTATTTTGAATGCTGACAAAGCAGAAGCTGCAAAGATTTAAACAGATAAATCTTAATTAGTAAGTCAGATAAGATGAAAATTAGCCAAGGAGACTTAATGTGACCACGCCACATACCTCTCACTACCAGCTCTATTTTTAAATTTAAAGGTTTAAAATTTTTCTGTTTTTTATCTAGCAGCATCTTATGATAAAAGACAGATATTCTCTGAAAGGGAGACCAGAATATAACCGTTTTCTTCTCCTTCCTTTCCTCTCTGCAGGTGAATGCCTTAAACAGTCAACCCTAGAGTCACGTTCCTTCTTGCTTACTCCCATCTGTCTCAGTTTCCTTCCTGTAAGTCCCACTCAGTACTTAAGAAAAATAAAATCATAAGCACCAACATGAAGGACAGAGCCTCATAGCTTGGAAAGATGAAAGGTCAATACTGCCAGCTTTATCAGAGTCCAGAATTGTAAACATTTCCTCCAGAGGGTTAAAGGGACTTTGCTTGTTTTGTCTTGCACAGGTTTTCGTACATATGACGATACTTTTACCTCTTAGTGGGTGTTCAAAACCAGGACGGCAGGGAAGTGCTATTTTTTGTCCCAGCATTTGCATTGCACTTCCAGCATTTGCACTGGGCATGTTTAAACATGTCCAGGTTTTGTTTCTTTTTTTTTTAAAAAACGGTTTCCCAGTTCATCTGGAGCAACAGCCTTCAGATGTTTCGTCAGTTACTGCCTGGGTGGGAAAACAGATCACTGCCTAAACTCTGAGCAGGCCTTTTCATGGCTGGGTTAGATAGGTCTCATTAGTGTAGTGGATCTGATTGATAAAAAAAGTATTTAATAGTTTTCTACCAGCTGTGCTGCTAGGGGCATGGAGATGATTCAGTTTGGAATACGTGAGCAGAAGTTTCATAACAAAGCAACATCCAGCAATAAATTATCAGATTTAAGGAAATTTAAAGATTAATGCTTTATACTTGTTCTAGTATGTTTAATAAAAATAGCTGAAATAATTTCAAATAATCTAATGCATTAATATTTGCTTCTGGAATTAAATATTACAACGGAATTAATATTAAATTGAATTTTATATGTTAATCAAGGCAAGTCTTTGTTCTACCCATTATGACTAAATGGCAAGAAAACTGTGGCTGGATGCTGTTTCATTTTAGAAGGTTACAGCACATACAAGGATCTGGTCACTGTCATTAAAAGGATTCTGAAAGTACCAGCACACTGCAATCAGGTGTGACTTTAATTGGTGGATGAACAGCTCGCTCGCTCGCTCCACAGGTGAGCACAAGTCATCTTCCATGAGCAAACTAAGAGCACACTCACTGCTTGTGTCAAGCTGAAAGAATAACTCCAGTACCATTTGTTCATGGAGCAAAATCAAGCACTGCCAAGAGGTGCCAAAGATTGGACCCATGAGCTCGGTCTGCTGTTACTAGCAATATGCTTGGATAGAAGATTACACACAAGGAGGGCAATGGAAAGGAGATGTTACACCTCCCATTTCCCAGACAGAGGATGGAGAGGCTGTCAAAGAAACTATCTGCTGCTACTTGCAGTGAGCGGAGCTGCTTTATGTAGCTAGACTAAATGCAGAATGGCACTGTGCCACAGAAGTCCCCTAAATGACTTTCTCAGGCAGGGACAGAAAATGAATCCAGTCAGACAGTCTCCAAAGCCACAGCCTTAACCACAGTTCCCTTTCCACTGCCTGCTGCTCCCTCGGCCTCCATGGAGGCAGCTCACAGAGGGTGAGGGGAAAATGGCAGAACGGCTGCCCTACAGGATTCCTTCTTCTTTACTCACATTTGGGTCAGTGGAGTGCTCAAAATTCAGCTTTTATCAAAATCAAATCATTCAATCATTCTCTATTAGACCTAGTAGCATTCCTCTAAACTACTGAAAGTCATTTTATACTGATTCCTTTATATTGCACACTGTGAAATAACAGATATGATATGTAATTTGCAATTGAAGATATTTGGGTCACATCCCCAGAAGCTAATTAAAAAATAACACATTCTGTGATTTCTTTTGACTATGAAGAAGGACTGGTCCTGCCATCTTACTCACTAGAGGTTACATATACATTTCTGTACATACAGGAGTTACTTACGGAAATAACAGCAGCAGATTGGAGTGATAAGCATTGTAATTTCAGCAATACAGCATCACTGTCACTTTCTGAACTCTGGATGAAAAATACCAAAGAGCCTATTTGTGCCCTATTATGAAGTAATGAATATATACAATTTCACATCTCACAACTAGAATATCTGTCAGAAGATACACTTTGATTTTTTGTTAAGTGCAAAATTCACATTTTTGTTTCTGTGCCTTTCAAGCATACAAAACGACAGGGTCCATATGCTGTTCTGAGAGAATCACACAAAAAGAAAATATTTGCGTCTTCAGGGAAGAGGAAGGAAAGGTTCCTCTTTATTATTCCAGACTGATATCTTAGTTCATGTAAAAAATACCAGAGCTACAACTCTATCTCCTCCCTGTCCTCTCCTGATAGTTTGCATTTGCATGGGACAGGGAAAGAAACACAATTGTTTCTAATTTGTCTGCTGCTCAGATAAGCCTTGAAGTGGCTGGCAGTAGGCATTTGGAGATTTTTTATCTGACTAAATGGCAGTAAAGGGAAATCAACAGCCACGGGACCAAAGTAGGCATTTGCTCTGGCTCTTTGCAGTCCATAGCTGCTGCAGTGTAATGGCAGCCAGCCTGTTTCTTTAGGCTGACCACCTCTTGGGCACCATTGCTGCAGTATCTTTTTGGAGACTGTTGGCAACCGAGGCATGTGAGAATAGCTGACATGGACACGGATACTGAAGCTGCTCTCTTTGTTCCTTCTCTCCCACCTTTCCCCTAAGCACTCTAAGCACAGAAAGTCCCTTGTATTAAGCTAAGAACTCACATTAATTAAATTTCAAACAACTAGACAAGTACAATATTTCAATTCCACAATTAGAAAGAAAAACGTGTTTGTCACAAACTGATAATCATCAGCTAAATGTTTTGGTTCCTAGGGGAAAATTCACTTAAATACATTGTACATGACCAATATTTCTCTTTCTCTGCAGTTTAATGTGTTGGTCCTAAAACATCCACTAGAGAGGATACAGGTGCTATAGATGATTGCATGTATAGACAGGAATAGGCAGGAGCCTGAACATTCTATTTATTGGCTTGGCTGTTTATCCTTTAGGCTAAGGTTGTATGCATTAACCTAACCACTTCCTAGATTTATTTTAAAAGGATAAATAAAACACATGCCTAGCAATGCTAGAATTTAAATGATTCCAGGTGTGGTATTCAGTCATCATTCAGTTAGGCACCGTAAGAAATTTAATTTACTCTGTTTTTGAGAGGCATGATGACTTGCCCGAGCTACCCGAGCAGGGAAGGAAATGCCTCTCTGATGGCACATCCCAGTTTCCTCCAAAATGAAGGATGCTTGCATGGCTGGCAGTGGAGCAGCTGCCTCCACGTGACACTAGTGCCCCGCATGCTCAGCCTACTGTATTTCTGTCAACAAGCATTGCCAGCAGCAGCTTTGCAGCAGAAGAGGAGCCAGTGGGACTGGGATTGGCAAAGACACAGCAAGGGAGACGGGCTGACCTGTTCACTTTCCCTGAACAGTCCTCATAAGCTGCTCAGCTGTATAACAGTGATGGCTTAGCACCAATGACCACACTGAAGACCAGGGACAATAGAAACAAGCTGCTGATTGCTCTGTTGAGCTATGTGCAGTACAAAGATATGTGATTTCTAAGTATGAAGGTTAGAAAGTAAGAGAAAGAGAAAGGATCGAGAAAAGAGATCCATATCTCAAGGCAGTGGGAATTACATCTCATATTGACAGAGTTTTTAATGGATAATTCATTAATCTGTTTTATTTACACTTGCACTAGTCATTTAGAGGTCATTTAACACCTTACTAAATTACACTGTATACAAGAGAATTCATACCAGGGATTATGCCAACAGGTGATTGCACTCCCAACCTTGCTGCCAGTCTTATTTGCTTGGAGACAGATTCCATTAAGTTGGGATCAGCATTAGATGTATAACCATCACCATATGAGAGAGCTCTACTTGGGTGCCAGGGAAAGAGAGAGGGATGTAGAAAGCATCAAGGGAAAGAATAAGCATTTTAGAGAAGGCAAAACTGTGGGGTTCAAAAAAGCATGAACAATAGTGACATCTTATTTTCTTTGTATAAATGACTTTTAGACTAATGCACTTCTATCAAGTTCCCTAGAACTGTATTAATTTTCCTGCCACCAGCTGCCACCAGCTTCCAATGTACATTCATAGGCCACTCAATCTTTGAGAATATATATTATTAGTATCTAGAAATAAAAATAAGATCACCAGAGTCCTCTCATCCGCAATTCAAACCCTATGATCTTCTCAGAATAAATCTCTTTTTGAGACTTCAGTATTCTGAAGAGCTCTGAATGCAGCCTCAAATCACCTCAGCGCCAGCTCACGTTTGGGACCTGCCCTTCCACACAGTTGCAGTATCTCAGGAACAGTACTCCCCAGAGCCCACTGCTTTGCCACTTTCAATGTAGTGGACAGAACCTCCACACAGCAATCCTCTAAAACAAAATGGATGAAAATAGGTTGCATTTCCTTAGGTGTGGCTAAGCCACACATAATATAAACAGAGTTCAATTTTCTCTCTGCGTTTCATTTATCCTTAAGAAAAATATAGCCTGGTTATATTTAGCATTCTAACCCAGTCATGAGAAGGGGCACTGGGCAGGGCTCGTGGTTTCTGCAAGCAATCTGCTGATCGTGCCATCTTTGGTAAGCCATCCCCTGCACACAGCCATTAATTCCTCATGAGTGAGTTCTTTGGGTTTGCTTCTCTTTACAGATCTGTCAAACTCCTCCTCTTTGTTTACCAACAGAGAGGCAAGTCTAGCAGTGTGCCTGGCAGGGCTGTTGCTTCCAGCTGAGTCCTGCAGGGAGCTGCCCACCTCCTATACAGCCCCGGGCACAGTGAGTCCTACCAGGAGAAACCAAAGGTTTTGGCAGCTACCTTGTGTCCCTTACCAGCTCCTCTCCAGCACAGTGAGGTCAGCTGTAATGGAACAGATACTGTCTTCCCCCAGCCAGAGATGTGTCAGAACTATTCCAAGGTCTGGGAGCTGCAGGAGGAGTGCACTGCTACCAGGGGACCCTTCCAGGGTAAACTGGATTGCACCTCTCATTCTGTAGCACTTCCATGCCAAAATGCACTTGTGAGCATGTATTGCCATTATTTGAATGCAAAAGTAATGCTTAAAAAACAAAGGTTTTGCCTCACCTCAAAGGCACTCCTTACACACTTCTTACACGCTGAAGTTCCTCAGGCTGCAGCTCCCAAGCAGGAGATTCCCAACTGCTTCTCAGCACGTTTCTGCCAAAGATGAGCCATCATCACTGCTGCAGTTTAAGGGATTCACCTGTAAAACCAAAACAAAGCCTCCAGAGGGATTGGAGAACTTCAAGAACAGAGTAAAGTGCCGCTGTTTTCCTTCATAGTTCAAGATAAGAACCGTATTTTTACTTTCAGGAAATAAGTTTAATTTTTAACTTGCAAAGAACAGCATGAACATTTTTCTGACCAAAGGCAAACAAAATATCTTTCTTATATAGCAGACATGCTGATTATTACAGGTAGTCTCTGAAATCAGTACAGGGCCATGTTAATTTTCTCCCCTGAAGCAAAAGGAACTTTGATATCTGTAGTTAAGATGGAATTTGTTGAAATGGAGCTCAATAACTATTATATAAACAAGCCAAAAAATGAATGAATCTAGGGGAATGATTTGAAATAGTGAGATACATCATGAAACGTGATTAATGACACCAAGGGAAATATAAAATAACATGTTTCCCTGAAAATGTGCTGTAAGTGCACAATGTCTGCACGATATTGTGCATCTGCAGTTCTCTGTCCTGCCACCTAATATCCAAATTGTCTGCCAGTATAAACACAGCTGCTGAATGTCTTCTACAACTGCAAAAATAATGAATCTCCACTTTTCTTCCCAACTACTGAAGTATGTTTTACAGAGACGAATGCAATGTTTACCTTCGTTCAACAGAAGACGATGCTGATGCCCAACATATATGTCTTATTAACACACATTCAAATTCATCACAGATCAAAGAGACAGAATGGCTTTTTTATGGTAACCACAGATGAGCTGAGATTTCATGTTTTTGGCTTGAATAATTTCTCATCTGGTTTCTGCATAGACATTGGCCTACTCTTCAGTGGTGGATCACCATTTTAATTATATTTGACCATTGTGACAGCTTTGCTGTATCTAGCAGGATTGAGAGGAAGGGATAAGAGACCTCTTTTATGTGAACTCCACTTTCCATGTGGTGGATTGGCCTGCAGGCTCTGCTGGGGAAGTACTGTGATCCATTTCTCCCCAGCCTGGAGACATAGGTCTGCAGCAGCCAGGGGCGTGGGAGACTCCAAGTAACAATTTTCATGTTATAATACTAGTCTGGACTGTAAGAAGTAATTTAAGATAATTTACTGTGCTGCATTTACTTGAACAATTTCTATTCAGAAATGTAACTAAGGCAAACCCAAGTAAAATGGAAAATGATAGTCAGGATTTTCAAACACTGCACTCTGATCTTTGCCTAGATGTAGAGAGCATAACTGAAGGTAGGGAAGTAAGACAGGAAGAGAAATAAAGAAAAAAGGGAGAAGTAATGCTCCATAACCTTAGGAAGAGTATCAGTCTATTTATATGCTTCCTGGAATGCTCAGAACATTTAGTCTTACTGGCCACAAGAAACCACTTCTGTTGTGCAAAAGGTTTCACACATGAACTGAAGCCAAAAAGTTTTTTTCAAGGCACAGTGGGAAGGAAAAAAAAATACTGTATAGCTTTGTGAACAATGGAGAGAAACTGGTCTGTCGACCTGGTAAAAAAATTCTGCATTAAAAAACAAACAAACAAACAAACAAACAAAAAACTCAAAAAACCAAAAAACAAAAAACCAGTCACCCACCACAACCTCCTTCAGATTATTCTCATGAAAGTCACCTCTTTTGTTACATGGAAAGAAAATCGGCACCTAAACATAATCAGACATGTAAGCAAAGTACAATTACTATTCTAGATTAGTGAAAAAACTATGCACACTTTTTTTTTTTTTTTGTCAGCCTGTCTCTCACAATTGATACCCATTTTTATCTTATCCATCTACCAACTCTTCTGCTTGGGATCTTGTGGGGAAAGGAATATGCCTTGCTTTTGACTTGTACACGAACTAGCAGAAGCCCTCTTTTCTCCTGGCCATAATAGCAATACCAAAGAATTATGATGAATGGTGGGGTTTTGTTTTTTTTTTCCATCTCCCTAACAAAAAGCAAGACAGATCATGAACTCTAATAAAACTTCTAAAAAAAAAAAAAAAAGAAAAGAAAAATAGTCCTTACATGAAACATAAACACTAAAGATATGTTGGGGAGATTTGGTCAGACCATAATGATAAGGATTGAGATACAGCTTTAGTCTTTTTTTGGAACTTCTCGTTATCTTCCTCAGTTTTTAAACTTATTTTTCCAGATATTAACTGCAGGTTTTGTATATGACTCTGCCAGTGGTCACTCATGATCTGTAGCTGTGTTGATACAGTTCCAAGTTGCCATGTTGGGGGGAAGGAAGGGCACAAGAACTCCAATCCACTTTTTCGGCAGGTAAATGTATCATAACTCCTGTATCTGAGTACAGAAGTACTCCCTTTGAGCATTGTAGCTAGAAGAAAAACTGAAGTTGAACATAAACTTTCTTGCTGCTAGACTGAAATTCACAGTTGGTTCTAGGAGCCCAGCTCTCTGAGTTAGGCATGAGTTTGAACACAAAATCCTTGCATTTTTGTTCAGCAGCTTCATATTTTTAAGTAAAGGTTAAAGCTGGAACTAATAGTCGCTCTTGCTGAGAAGCTGTGTTTGCATGCTGAGGATGAGAACATCCTCAGGGCCAGCCCAGAGGAACAAACCTCAGCAAGCATGGCTGGCTCTGCTCCTCCAACGCAGCAAGGCTCTGGATGCTGCCGCTCTGGGGTGGAATGAGGTTGTGGTGCCAGGTACAGCTGTTGATTGTGCTACAGTAAAGGCAGGCTAATGCCTTCTAAGCCTGCAGATTTATGCTAGCTGATATTTATTCTGGCATAAACCACAACAAGAATTTGACTACAGTAGCAATATGAGCAGAGGTGGGCACAAAACAGAGCAAGAAGACACAAGCTGGGAGAGTGTCTGATGTGATGCCCCAAAAGCACACAGGTGAGGGACTGGGGATGAACGGTGCAGGGGTGAGTCCTGCCTTGCAGGCTGCCTAGGAAATCCACATCTGACAAGTATTCACGTATCAATTAGGAGGGAGAATGGAGGTCTTCTCCCTTTTCATGAGGACAGCATATCATATCATGAAAGAAGGGGGATGATTGTCAGCCTTTATTCACAGTACATTTCCATTATTCATTCAGTTAATTTTTTTTAATTTTTAGAAAAGTCTCCTGCAGTTATAAATCTGGTAAAACGTATAGCTTTGCACAAAATCAGAAAAGCATGAATGTGAGCTGTCAGGGTGAAAAAGGAGGCTTGGAAGAGGGTTCAGGTCACTGGGAAGTCATTCACTTACTACGAAAAGCTGTTGGACAACTCTGAGAAAAAGCTTGCCAAAATGTGCTGGGAAATATGAAGTTGCCTGGTCTAACAAGAAAATGGTGTGTACGCATCCCCGCAGTGCTGGTAGGAGCTGCCCGTGGGCCCTGCCCTGAGATGGCTGTGCTTGGGGGAGTTTAAAGAGCTGTACAGAGAAAACCAAACCCTGCAGAGATCGAAATCTATTCCCCAGAAAGGCTTAAGGGGAAAAAAAAACTAAAAAGGAGAAGCAGTTTTCAACGCAACTGTCTTCTTCCTGCCGTAACAATGTCTTTCACATTGCCCGCAAAATAAATCCAAATTGTCACCGCAAACACACACCTCTCAGGAAGTCTGCCTTCACTACTGGCTTCAAACAGTTGCCAGATTTTTGCAGTGCTGAATTAATTCTTGCCTTGAATCTCAGGGTTACAGTGAGCCACCGCCTGGTCTGTGGCGTGGGGCCAGCAGGGCTCAGGCTGTGCTCTGTCCCATCCCACCCCTCCCTGGGGATGCGGGGAGACCCAGGCAGTGCATGCAGTCCTTCCTCTACAGCCAGTCATCTTTCCCGCACAGGCTCACAACGTTCAGAAGAAAAGTGTTGGTAGGACACCTTTCACAATAATAAGTACGAATTGCAGAGATTCTGTGAATTTAGGTCAATGCATCACCCTTAGAGCGCATTATAAATACATCAGAATCACAGCCTGAAGAAATTTTTTTTTTCTTTGGCATCAGCTGCTTTTAGCTATGCCACAGATCTTTAGCAGAATTTAAACTCCAGATTAAGTATTGATTGAGTTTAAATAAATTATAATATGTTGTAACCAGAAAGCTGGGCCCTGACTGGAGCAGACAGTTTCCCTTTTTACCTCCCTTCCCACTTCAAATATTAACACATTTATTCACTGCAATATGACTGTAATGAACAACCAATTCAAAAAGGTATAATACTGAAGTAAATACTAATTTAAACAGCACCTTCAGCTACTTGACATACGAATGAAGTTATAAACCACATATAAAATAAATACATTAGCTTAAAGGATTATGTGAACAGAAATAATTCCCCTAAAGAACTAGCTATGAAGGAAAAGTAAACCACAAACTGCACCTTCTGTTAACGTTTGATTCAATTTCCGATACACTATTCCTTTTTTTAAGGTACAAAAATATCTCTGTACTGATGTCTACCAACAAACTGTAACAGAATGATACACTTTCGTATCGCGTTCAGTCGCATCAGCTGCTGGTGCATGCGGCACGTTATTTCTGGACCACTAACAGATGAGTGTGTCCTTCTAAACTATATTTAATAGGAACAGAAAACTCTCAAGAGCAGGTATTCAAAACGTAACCAAGATATAGTTACCAAAACTGGCTGAAGAATGAAACAGGCCCAAGCAACAAGAAAACAACAACTGCGCTGTGCTGCTAAAAGAGGACAAGGGGACACATAAGGACATATAGTTTTGTGTTTGACCTATTTTGGTTGATTTAATTTTCAGATTCTGTAAGCCAAGCTCCAGTGAGTTCCTGAGGAAAAAATTCTAACTGGCATTTTAGTGTGAGTCAAACCTCACACAAAAAGTGCTTTGTGCATCAAGATAACACTGGGAGCTGTCTAGCTGCACGTACCAAAGGGCCAGTATGAACAAAGCAAAACAGAGCTGTAATGGACTTCTAATAGCAATAATACTTTGCAGTTCTGTAGTTTGTTCCAGACAGAGATCTCTGAGTGCTTTGCAGGGCATAGCAAGCCTATTAGTTGGAAACTCCAGCAGAAAATGATTATTGCAGTTTTACTGATGAAGAAACTGATGCACAGAGAAGTTAATGCTCTCTGTAAGATCATGCAGCCACTGGCATGCCGGTGCGTTGTCAGAAACCCTAGGCTATTTGTCAGACTCCTGCAAAAGCACTAATTCCATACTCCAAACAAACCATCTGCCAGCCAAGTTGTATGTTTGAGTAATATTTCCTTGGTTTCACAAATAATAAAATCCATCTTTTCATTTAGAGGTAGCTTATTTCCTGTTGGTATTCCTACCAAGATGATGACAGGAACATTCATTCTTTTAATGAAAATGCAGACAGTTCAGGGTATGAGAGCATTTCAGATAAAGCCCACAGTTTGGAAAGAGTGACTGAAATTGCATATATCACCATATTGCATCTAGACATGCAATGTGACAAACTTTATTCCAGCTGACATGGTGAGCAATTGCCCATTTTAAGAGGCATCCTTAGAATTTTACCAGCAATATTCTTTTCAGGCTGTACACACCCTGTTATTCTTTTGACTCTGAAGTCATTCACTGTGAATAGAAGTGGCAAGCTTTGAATTTGACTTTTTTTTTTTTTTTTTTTTTTTTTTTTTTTTTTTTTTTCTAGTTGCCAATGAACAGCTGTGTTATTTACAGCTTTCTTTGCATTCTCTGCTAAGGAAGATGCGATTGCTTTATTCTGAAAAATGTAATAAATGAATGATTTTTCCAAACATCTCTTTTTCTACTTAGACATTACACTGCAGTTAGAGTAAGCCAGCCCTTCTTTGAGGCATTAGTAAAACCAAGAGGCAATGGAGTTACATTTTGCAGTGGTGTACACTTCCACCTGCCTACATCTAATTTAACCACCACTGAAATTGTCTTGGGATTTAACCCCAGGGAAGCCCAACTTCTGTCTGGCTAAGCAGGGGTTCTAGAAGTGCATTGCCTCAGAAGGGTGTATCAAAAAGCCTTCAGAGATTGGCACAGAAATGCCACAAAGCCGAGCATTTAACCTAAGCCCCATCTGCAAGTAGGACTGTGTGTCCAGTTGAGGTATGTGTCAGCCCTGGGCCACACTGAGAAACAGTGCAGAGGAATGAGGGACCGAGTTCAAAGATCAGGAAGTAACAGGAGAGAATAACAATTCTACCTGCTATGCCGTAAGAAGTAGTTGGAATTTGCCATTTCAGTAGTTTCCTTAATCCAGAATTGCTGCCCAGGGATACATGGGACTTTCTCATGACGTAGATCATATGTGTCCAACCCACTAGTTTTATGTGTTTGTTGCTCTTTTTTTTTTAAAAAAAAAAAAAAAAAAAAGAATAAGTTTTGTTACATGTATACATTAACTTGTTATATATTTTACATGCAGCCCAAGATGATCCCTCTTGGGCTCAGTGTGGCCTACGTAAGCCGAAAGGTTGGACACCTGTGGTCTGCATGTAAGCTATTATTCTGGGCAGATGAAACACACTTCAATTCAGTAATTCACCAAAAAAATCCCTGTGCACCTTCTGTTATTAACCTGTAAATACTTTAGTTGGAGAACAAGGTTCTGGTAGCATATGCTTGTATTTTCCATGCATTTTATATCATGTATCATTTTCTGTAGATATATATGTGAAAACACTCAGGAAGAAAAAGCAAAAGGAAATGCTAACAGCCCTTGCAATGCTAACCTTTTAGGGTCATGGCTCAGTGGGGTAAAGAAGACGAAGAGTTCTGCTTTTTTACAGCATGAGTATTTTAGTGATTTCTAAATGTGGTGACCTATTGCTAAGAAACATTTAGGTTTTTGAAAGGAAAATTCAGCAGCATAGCATATCCCTTTCTCTGCTCTCCTGTTCTTTAGGGGAATAACAACATTCCACATCTTTGCATAGAAAACTGTTATAATGCACAGACTCAGTCTGTAGAGTGGTCACTACAACATCCATACCTGATACTCTAAAAGTGATGTATGTGTTTATGATGCTTATCTGGTGCCTTTATTCTTAAGTCCTCTTGCTTTCTCATCTTGTGAAAGCCAAATAAATTTTGTATTTATAAAACAAAGAGCAGCCACCAAGGCCTTGACATCTCAGCATTAGCTCGTATTTGATAGACTTCTGCACATACTGCTGCACAAACGCAAGAGCTATGTGATGACGGCTAGCTGCATTTGAAAATTCTTTGGCCCAAAAGCCTGGCAAGAATCTGAGATGAAGTGTTAAAGCAACCTGACAGAAATCCCCTGCAGCGTTTGAGAAAAAAACTCCAGCCCTCCCTCTTCCCAGCTAAACCCTGAAACAAGGTCAACGCACTAAAAGGCTCTGAAAGTAATTTTTTATAAATAAATATCCTGGGGAATTAGTGAAGCAAGTCACATCCCTAAAATAAAGGTAGTTATTTGTACGCAAGCATTTCCTTTACATGTTGGGGGGTAGCACACATCAGTCAATGTGAGATTAAATGCAGATCTGACTGCATGCTATAGATGAAAGTAATATTTTTTTCCCAGGAAGAAAACTGGGATCAAAAACTTGAAGTAGCGAATTGTGCAAATGTACACCTAACACTAAGCCTGTAAACAGTCCCCCCTCTTCCAACATGCTGGTGTTGCAGATCCCTGAACCAGCAGTTGTAGTCCTAACAAGCAAAGTCAGTGGTGCAGCAGTAAATACAGGAGTCTACCAAATGGGAGCTGATGCTGAGATGTCAAGGCTTGGTGTCTGCTCTGCTCCCCAGATTCGGGCTCCCGGACATTCACCTCTGGTTGCCTGCTGTCAGTTGTAGAAAATGTCCCTTTCACCCAGCTGATCAGCTTTATTGCACAGTAACAATTCCTTTTCTTTCAAAAGAAACTGAAGTTTCAATCTCGTCTGACTGCAGTCAATAGCAACCATTCCTTTGGTCAACAGAGTATGACTTATGACACAAACATTCACTGTAAATCTAAGTAAAGCAAGCGATGCAGGGAATTTTCTGAGGAAAAGAGTTCTTTCAGAAAGGATGTAAAAATGGAGAGAATTTACATATTATTTGGTGACATCACTTCCAGGCTTGCACCTAGCTTAGAATGGCTTTCTGAATATTATTTCAACCCTTTTTTCCCCCAATTTAATTTTATATAGAGTCATTTCTTTTACAGATTTCATTTGCTTAAAGGAGAAGAGTATGGAATAAAGGGAATCATTAAGGCACAAATCCACTTATCTCTACTGTGTCTGTGATGTTGCTCCCCGAGCAGCAGTAATCTCTTACACTCTGGAAACTTGCAGAGGTTTCTCACAGGAGAATCACAGCATTTGAACCAGTGTGAGCACAGTAGTCGACAACTGAAAGAAATATGTGAAAGCAAAAACCCAAACTAAACAAAAGTCCAAATCAAAACCTTTGAATTTCTTTTCTGTGAGAATATCAAGTAACAATCATTTAATTGGCAAAGATATTCAGGCCTTCCTATTTTGGAGGTTATTTCCTAAGGTTTAAAATGCAACTAAAAAGTTTAGAATTCTGTGTTAGCATGGCCTGATCTTCAATATTGCTTATCACTGCCTGCCATGCAGCTGGCTTGCTCTCTCTCTTTGAAAGTCTCAGATTTTTTGCAGAGAAATTATGTTTCTAACATACGATGAACATCACAGTGTTATAATCATTTTCAGAGCTACTGTGTACATTATTAATTGTGTACACGATTCTCTTGACTGACTCCATTGCACATGCTGAGATTAGTGGTTACCAAGACATCGTTATAAATTATGAGGTAAGATGGATGAGGCCAGCTTTGTATTTCTGGCTTGGTGAAGGTGTTGATAGCTTGCACTGAATGGAAATTCTTGTAAAAAGTGAGGTTGGAAAATATTCCTTTTCCTGAACTGTTAAAGTGATAAATACTAAATAAACATCTGCAAGTGAAATGGCTCCCTGCTGCCCAGCAACTACTTTCCTGAACACCTAAGAATGCAACCATGAATGCAGCCAAGTTTAGGTATGATATCCAGAGCAAAGAGGAAAGGCACAAAGCTGTGACCACTTCATAGTTTTTGAAGTGTATTCTTCTAAATTGCTAGCAGAAAGATCTAACTATCCAGCAGTCCCAATTCAGAAGATATTTGCCTGGATATTTTCAGTAGACATTACCAAATCACTCAAAGTTACTATAAAAAAAAACAAATTCAGAAAAATTGGAGTTGGACTCGATGATCTCCAGAGGTCCCTTCTAATCCCTATGATTCTATGAAAATATTTAGCAGAAAAGGAGATGCATATGCATGAACAAGCATAGCAATGAAGCATATTGCATGAAGAAGAGAATAAAATCCCCATTTTTTGTTGTCTCTCCACAGCAGTTTGAGCACACTGGGAGCTGACTTAAGACCTAGCACAGATTTTAAGTACTCTAAATAGTGGCAGCTGAAAAATAGGAAGTAGATGCATCTGGCCAATTTAAAAAGTATAAACTAGGACTGCAGAACACTTATATATGCATACAACCCTGCTTCTTATCTTGACTATGATCATGACTGTCTCCATTATGTAGACAAGAAGCTGCTGGGCACCCTACTTCTTTTAGCTGTTTAGAAGAACTAACAGTTCAAGTTACAAAAAACTGCAATTCTTATCTTTATAAAATATACAAACATTTTCTTATTTTATCTATGAATTCAAATGTTATTTACTGTCAATTTCTAATGCACTTCATATAATAAAAACTAAATCCTTGATCCCAGTGGGAATTTTAAGTGCTAGTGTTTCTTTTTTTTTTTTTTAATTGTTGCTTTGCTTGTTTTATCTTTAGTAATGTTACCCACTAAATGTTTTAACTGTGGCTTCAGGAATTTAAGGAAGTCTCACTTTTGAATATCTCCATCTCTATTTCTTAAATGTTATGCCATTTTTTGAACTCTGTTAAACGAATGAAACTCTTTTATAGTGGGATATACAATTGATGCACAAATAACCATCCCATGCTAATGCTTTTGTACTGAATAAGCTAAACGGTGGCCATTTTTTTTCCATAAAATCTTTTTGAATTTTTCATTTTCATGATCTTTACATAAAATCAGGAGTGAGTAAATCTAGTTCCAGATGTAGTGCTGTAGTGGTTAGAAAAAGATGCCACTTATGTATTTTTATCCTAGAAGTATCAATTCCCATACACTGCCCATTAGGGTCTATCAGAAATCCCCATCTATGCCACATGTAAGCAGGGCCACAGGCTGCAGGACAGAGGTCACTGATGGGGGATGAGAGCCTGACAAGGCACCGTGCATCTTTTGCAGAAGTGTTTGAGATTACCTTCTGTATTAGGGCATTCTTGAAACCAATTTTACTGATAAAGATATAGCATTCTTCATCCTTTCCTGAGTGGTTTCATTTTTAAGTCTTCTTTTTCTAAGCGAAATACCTTTACAGATTTTATATTCAGATAGAGCATGGAGAAAAAAGTATTGTTCTATTTTATCAATTTCTAATTTTAGTTCTTTTCACATTTTGTTTGTTAGGCATAACTAGGTCAACATTTTCATTCTTTCAGGTTGAAAATCCTGTCTGAAGAAAAGCAAAGCTACTTGTCATGAAGCAAAGCAAATGGTTGTGA